TTCAGAGGTATTTCTAAGGACCTGTAAATTTTCAGTTCTTCCAAGGCGGTATGATAAGAAGCAGGGTGTTTCCTCTCCACTGCCACAACAAGCTCCACCAGGCCAATGCTCCTCCTCACCCCAGGACCGCCCCTTGAAACTGTGACCCAGATCCAAGTGTGAGCACAGCAAGAGATTCCTGCTTTAGCACTGTCAGAGAGATCCCTGCAATCCCCCTGTGATCAGCCACTCAATTCCCCCTCAGTCTGTGGGCTGGGAGCTCAGGAGGCAGCTGCTGCCCCAGAGGCCACACTTGGGACTTTGGGGCTGAGACCTAGCTCCTTCTCTCACCGCAGTCACAGACTTTTCCTACTGACCTTCTAAGTTGTCTTTGGTGTTCATGGGTTGAGAAGTCTGGAAACCATCACAGCTTCCCGTGATTCAGTCCTCTGAGGCCTGCTCCAGGGTCACTGTGGCCTGCGCGCCCACGCCAAACTGCGCTCCTCTCTCCGCCCAGCACTATATACCTTTCCGATCAACCATCCAGGTTGTCTTGGGCTGGAAATTTGTTTCGCTCTGTCTTTTTGTGGGTTCTGCTGCTTTAGAATTTGTTTAGAGCCATTTTTTACAGGTATTTGGTAAGGTTTCGGGGAGAGTTCAAGCAAGTCACTGCTTTCACTCTGCCATCTTGGCTCCGCCCCTACATTTATATTTCTACAAGCCTTCCATGTCCTTCTAGGGAAATGAATTCAGCAAACACTTTAATATGTTCACAACCATAATTAAAGCATACAAACAAAAGCATAATTTTTTGCTATGGACACTGACCAGAATTTGGTCTTTAGTGTGTGCATTTATATATATGTAGACACACACAAACATACATGCACATCTTTTTCTTTAAATTGATATATTATTTTCTCACTCTCTGAAACTTAGGGTCTTGGAGAGTTGCCTGGGGCACTGAGGTTAGGTGACTTTTCCAGGGCCTAAGAGCCAGTAGGTATCAGAGGCCAGACTGGAACCCAAGACTTTCTGACTCCAAGACCAATTGGTCAATTGACAAACATTTATTAAGTACCACTGTGTACAAAGGATGAAACTATCCTTAGATGCAAGAACATTACATGTTAATGATGGGGAGATTGCAACTATATATAGAAATCTCCACAGCATAACTATAAATATGTACAAATGAGTTGTTAGTAGTTTGGGAGGCATAGCACTAGCAATTGAGGAGATCAGAAAAAGCTTCATGCAGACATGGTGCTTGAGCTATATCTTAAAGGAAGAGAGAGACCCGGAGGCAGGAGAATGCATTCCAGGTATGTGGGATGGTTACGTACAAAGACACTGAGAGTGGAGTTGGAGGGTCATGAGGACAGTTTGGTTGGATCTCAGCATGCAGAAGGGGGAAGTAATGTCCAATGTGACTGGAAAGATAGGTTGGGGCCAGGTTGTGAAGAGTTTTAAAAGATCAGCTCCATATCTACTATAGATTTATCTTTCTGCTATACTATAATACACCACCTCTGCATACCTAGATATGTTTATAAATAAATAATATGCAATAAAGATAAATGTAAAATCCTACACTTTGGGCTCATAGAGTATGGATAGTCAGTCTTCCTATGTAATGGAGGGGGTGTTGGCTAGACAAGTCAGTCAATCAATGATCGTTTATTATGAATATCACCTGGGATTTTTTAGTGGATTTCAAGTTTAATATGAGTTAACAATTTGAAAAGGCAGCCAGTACACATAATGTGGGGCAGCTAGGTAGTGGAGTTAGGAAGACCTGAGTTCAAATTTGACCTCAGACATTTACTAGTCATGTGACCCTGGGCAAGTTACTTAACCCCGTTTGCCTCGGTTTCCTCATCTGTAAAAAGAGCTGGAGAAGGAAATGGCAAACCACTTCAGTATCTTTGCCAAGAAAACTCCAAATGGGGTCACAAAAAGTTGGAAACAACTGAAAAACTATTTAATAACAACAACACACCTAATATAATGTTATGCAGAATCAAGAGAGATGCAGTGCCCAGGACAATGGAAATGATAATCCTCCTGTGCTCTGGTGAGTCAGATCACATGTGGAGTCCTGTGTTCAGTTCTGGACACCATGTCCTAAGGAAATTGACAAGTTGGAATCTGTCCAGAGGAGGATGACCAGGAGATAAAAGAAAGAGCTGACCATGCCATTCAAGGATTAGTTGAAGAAACTGGGATGCTTAGCCTAGAGAAAAGAAGACTTAGTTGTCTAGGTATTTGTTGGGCTTTCATTTTGAGAAGATATTAGCTTTGCTTTATTTGACCTCAGCAAATAGAGCAGTAAGTAAAATTTGAAGAGAGGACGGTTTAGGTTTGATGTAAAGATAAACCTCCTAATAATTATGGCTGTTCAAAGGTGGAATTGATTCCATTGGCCTATAGTGCACTCCTTTTCACTGAATGTCTTCAAATGGAAGCTGGGTGATCAGAATCTCCAGAATTTTAAAGGTTGAAGGGATATTAATCCAACCAGTACTGGAAAGGACTCCCAACCCAGCCTTGCTCTCTGCTTGAAATCTTTCAGAGGCAGAACCTACCATTTCTTAAGGCATCCTATTATGCTTTTGGACAGTCCTAAATGTTAGACATTTCTTCCTGACATCAAGTCCCAATAAAGCCTCTTTGCAACTTGTTTCCTTTGCTCCTAGTTCTGTCCTCTGGTACAGTTAGAATGAATCGATTTTACCTCTTGGCTAAGTGGAATGAATGCATTTCTAAAGTTTGTTTGATAAGCTCCTGCAATAAAAAACAAAACAACAACAACAAAAATCCCTTGACTAACCTTTAATGACATTCCCCAATTCTTTACCCTCAGAAATCCTAGCTGTCCTTCAAGGTGTAGGTCAGATGATAATTCTGTCATGGAACCTTTCCAAGTTCTTGGCCACAATCAAGTCTGTACTCCTTTGACATCTCGTAATACATTGCAGCTCTCTTGTGAATTTTGTATTAGGTTCATATGGGTGCATGTCTTATTTTTGCTCCCCTGTTAGATTTTATACATCTTTACAGTGATTAACACAGTGCATTCATTACCCATATTAGATGTAACTTAATAAAAGTTATGTGAATTGAATTATTTAATTGAGTGTCCTACATTTTGAAATTATAATTTAATTGCATTAGTTGGGGACCCCAGAACACCAGGCCATTTGGGAATTGTTTGTCATCCTTTAGTTTTACATTGTGGAATGAAAATTATTATAGTCATTGACTCACTTGTCCTTCCTTGTCAGTGTAGGCCTTTACTCTCTTTTATATGAACTATTCTGAGCACTCTCTGTGGCAAGTTATTGCTGTGTTCCATGCACACTTTACATGGAGAAGCCTCAGGGACAGCAGCTTACTTAAATACTAAAATTCACAGGACAAGTCCTCTTATGTCATGAGACCTGAATTTGTCCCAAATTTGTCCTGAATTTTTCCATGGCACTAGGTGACTGTGGGGAAAAAAAAAAGATAAGCATGAAGGAATCAGAGAACAATGTGATAGAGGAATCACATATAATGGTGACTTCGTGAGCACTGTAAAAATAGCAATGTTCACAAAATGCAGAAACACAACTGTCCTGTACCCAGGAATTCTCATTTGCTGACTTTCAAGTAGAAAACTGGTCAAAGTACAGTAAGTATTTGCCCCCTGAAAACAGGAAAGTAGGACTATATCTCTGGGTGGGTGTGATGCCATTCTTCTTCCCTCCTGTTCAGTTGAGATGCTTCTCTCACATCTACCTATCTTTAGTATCTTTCTGAGCTGATCACCTGTGTACCCAACACAACATCAGCATAAAATCTCTCAGGACTTTCAAGTACACATTCTTCCAGACACCTGGATTTTCAGATCCTTGGACAAAGGGAGGGAGGAATTAGCTACTTCAATTAGCTGCATTACTTCCAGAGTAATAGTTGCTTGGAATTTATGTAGCATTAGTTGGGGAAGTTATATGTTCCGATATAGGGCCATTGGGTTTATGGTGGCATGTGCCTGTAATCCCTGCTACTGGGGAGGCTTAGACTAGTGGATTATTTGAGATCAGGAATTCTAAGCAGTAGTCGATTTTGCACTGTCTGGAACCAAAATGGGATGGGAGGGGGGCACCAGGCTGCTTAAGGAGGGTGACCCAGCTCAGATTGGAAACAATAGGTCAGAGATCTTCTGCTATTCGGTACAAGGATGGGATCCTTGTGTGGTTTATCTCCTTATCTCTTTTAGATGAGATAAAGAACATTAAAGAAGGGAGGAGAGGGAAGAAAGAAACAAAGAAAAACAGAGGGAAAAAGGAAAGGATGGATGGATGTGGGTTGAACAGTCTCCAAAATTCCTTCCAAATCATATCTGTAATTTTTTATGTGTGTGCGTGTGTATGTGTGTGTTTTTCTTTGTATAATAATAACAAATTGTATAATTTCATATTTTTATATTCATTCAGTTATATGTTGGTATATACATACTTGAATGCATATGCATTTAAACCCATTAGGTAAATACTGATATTGAAGATCAAGTAACATTGAAGCTAAAGACCCAACTCAACCAATATGTACATTGAGGGGGAAATCATTATTTTAATTCATGTATTAGGATTCCACTTGCGCTTCTGTTGTTTAAATTGTTTTAAGATTCCTTGGTTAAGGCCATGTATAAATTCAAAATGTCCTCAAATTTCTCTAGTTATGTTTCCATTTCATTCTTCCTGTGGGCCACAGCAGGAATGAAGCTTAACCAACATTTTCATATGCTGATGATTGTAAACCAGGTGTGAGCTTTTACTTAAACTAATAAATTATTATCCTTCACCATGGAAGTATAAACAAAGCCCTTAATTAATGAATTTTCTAATTGTTATTTCCTGCTGTGGATGTTAGCCAACATTTAGTTCTTACATGAATAATTTATCTGTTCTATTTTTTAAAAGCCAAGACTCTTATTTTAATGTTATCATAACTGTTATACTTGTATTTCATTTTAGTTAAATAAAGAAAATAAGACTTTGAAAAGAATCAGCATGCTCTATATGGCTAAACTGGGGCCTGATGTTATAACTGAAGAGATAAATATTGATGATGAAGACTCAGCTACAGAAACGGAGGGAACCTCTGGAACTTGTGACTCTGTACAATGTCAACAGCAAATAAAAGGTAGAATTTGTTACTAAGCTTATGATCATTTTCTTAACTGTCAATGAGAATATTACCAATCAGATTCTACTCGTACTTGTACTGGCTAAGTTCTGGCTTGGGATTCTGTACTTTGAGATTCTGGGCCTGGAAAATCAATGCATCAGTCAGTATTTATTGAGGATTTACTATGGACCCAGTATTATTGTAGGATACAATAATGGAGATACTTGGAGATACAAGAGAAACCTAAAGCATCATCTCTGCCCTCAGGGTGCTTATAGTGTAGTTGAAGAAACATAATATAACCCAGTTATCTGCATCATACATCATTGTAGGGATTCATGAATTCATTACTGTAACTATAGGGCAGCTAGGTGATGAAGTGGAGAGAGCCCTGGAATAGAGCTTGGAATCAGGAAGACTCACATTCATGAGTTCATAATCCAGCTCAGACACTTAGTAGCTATGTGACCCTGGGCAAGTCATTTAGCCCTGTTTGCCTCAGTTCCTCAACTGTAAAATGAGCCAGAGAAAACAACGTCAAACCACTCCAGTATCTTTGCCAAGAAAATCCCAAATGGGGTCATGGAGAGTTGGACACAACCAAACAGCAACACAACAACTCATGCTACAGAGAAGACTCTCCTCCTATCTTTCTTCCTTCCTCCTCCCTCTCTCTCCTCTTTCCTTCCTCTTGTCATCTATCCCTCCGTCCCTATTTTCTTTCCTCTTCCGCCCTTTCCTCCCTGCTTTTTTCCTTACTCCATCCCTCCTTCTCTTCTTCCTTCCTTCCTTCCATTCATCTGGCCCAACTAGAATGTAAGCTCCTTAAGGGGAGGGATTGCATTATGTTTGTCGTTATAATCCCTGAGCCATATATGAGCCAGCATGGTTTAAAATAGATGGATAGATAGAAAACTGGCGTTGGAGCCAGGAAAACATGATTTCAAGTCCTGTCTCTGGTGTGTGTGTGTGTGTCTAGGTGTGTAGGCATGTTTGTATTTTTTTTATTTATTTGTTGTGTGATTGGGCAGATGACTTTACCTCTTAGTGCTCTAGGCAGTCTCTGAAACTATAAGCTACAGAGAAAGTGCCAACCTGTCTTGGTTAAAGGAGTTTCCTATGCCAAATGAAATCACAAAGCCAGCCCCTCTCCTTAGGGCCTAGCATGATGCCTTATACATAGTAGGTTCTTTAAAAAAAAGTTTTATTGATGCTCTTTTCCATAGAGTAGATTCTTAAGTATTTGTTGAATTTCATTGCTTTGCACTGAATTGAATTCTTTATAAGAACAGGAATTTAAAAGGGAAATAGTAAGTGGGAAAAACCGTAGAGCCATAAAAACAAGTATTTTGAGCTAATTTATTGACATTTCTTGCAACATTTGAATAAATGAAGCAACTTTAAAGATAAAATAGAATCTTTAGAATTTGCTTTTGTAAAGTGTTTTCATTCCAACAAGTGTCAATTTCAAATTTTCATCCATTGTATCTCAATAATAAAATATATATATGAAGTAAATTAAGAAACAAAACATTCACAATTCTGAAGGGAAAATTACTGGCATTAACCTTCTATCAAACTAGGTTATATTTTGACTCAGTTCACATAATGTCAGAAGGGCTATAAATTGGCAGTTATTCAGGATTTTTCCTACAAATCAAACCTTCCAAAGTGTAAACTGCCTGTTGTTTGTTTATACTGTATTGTGACAAGAGCCCATGACCACTAAGAAATAAAAAAGAAATTAGTACAATGCCTTAATTGGTTTTGCTGGAAGCTTTTTAAAAATATCTACTTTGAAAATGCCAGATGCTTTTTTCAGAACATGGGTTTTGTGGAATATGAGAAAACCAAAGACCACTGCATTTGATATTTTGCAAATACATTGTGTACGAATTATGATAATGGTCGCTATGGTGGAAGCAACCCAGTAAAAGCTCAATAAAATTTGCCTTTGCCTTTTGCTCTTAGATATTAAATGACATTGACTGCATGCAACACCTGGGCAGGTATTTTGGGTTCTTTTCATCTGATTGTTTTCATTAAATATCCACTTATTTCCTCTTTATTCTATCTTTTTCTCTTTGAAAAATCTAGAACTTCGAGATCAAATCATATCTGTTCAGGAAGAAAAGAAGACATTGGCTATTGAACTAGAAAATCTGAGGTCCAAGCTTGTTGAAGTCATTGAGGAAGTATGTATTGAAATGATAAAATGGAGACTTTTTTTTAAAGGATTTTTAGAAGCGGATAAGAAAAAAAAAAACCAGTCAGCTACGAAGCCAGTTACCTTTGATATAAACGCTGAGTTACTTTAACTTTAACTGTTTGTGTCAATGGCCCCTGAAACCACTTGCCTGGTAATATTGGTAATTGGTAATGCCTGGTAATATTGAGAGAGGAGTCACTAACTCTTTTGCTTTAGAACTTGAACTTAATTGAGGGATGAAGAAACAGTATTTTTTTTTCATTCTAATAGGGTCATTTGTGGATAACAGGACTATATTACAGTATTAGAACTGAATAGCACCTTAGAGACCACCTGTCCTAGTCCAATCCATTCATTTGCAAATTAGGAAACTGAGTCTCCCAGAGGAAAAGTAACTTGCCAAAAATTAGATAGCTAGTTAGTAGCCCACCTATAGCAAACATTCAGTTCTCCTGGCTCTATTTCCAGTGATCTTTCTATTACACTGATAGACTAGACTATCAAAGCCGTTTGGAGGAATTCTTCCTTTTCTTTGAATATCTTTAAGCCTAGCACAAATTCCCAACTTAAAGAATGATAAGGGAGGGGTCTAAATGGTTTTCAAAGTTTTTCAATCCAAGGGCCAGTTCCTTGGGATCCTTTTGCTGCCTTGTCGTTGGTTCTTAAAAAAAAAAATGCCAGTATAAATAAGGAAAAGGTTGTTGTTTTAGATAGGACTCTAGAGATGGATATTGAGTAAATTATTCATTCACACCAAATGTAAAATATAGGTTTTTCCACCATAATATTAATAATATCTTTAATACTTCAAAGATCTGAGATTTTCTACCTCTACCAGCCCCAAATGCCTCCTACCCCCAGTACATAGTCTTCAAGACTATAGTAATTGACAGAGCTTTGGGTCAAGCTCCTGGTCCATCCTACATGATGCTAAAATTCCTGGACTGTGGCTGTAGATTTCATTTGTATTCATTGTAGGATCCTTGGTTTTTATTTTTGCATTAAATATTATCAATGTTTCTTATGCAAGGAACTACAGCTAAAAAACAAAAAACTTGGTCTGTGACTAGAACAGTAGTTAAAATGTAGAAGTTAAATTCTTTTTAAGACTTCAGTTCTTAATGGATACTCTACAAAGACTGTCTCCCTAATGTTTGGCTTTGAGAAGAGCTCTTATAGATGAAGATGCATTAATCTATTTGAAGCCATAAATATGTCTTGAATGTAAAACAGAAATCACACATTACCATATGGTCTCATTTTACACTGTTGGCTGTTATCTCTCCTCTAAAAATCTCACAACTTTTAGGTAAATAAAGTTAAACAAGAAAAAGCTGTTTTGAATTCAGAAGTTCTTGAACAAAGAAAAGTGCTGGAAAAATGCAACAGAGGTATGTATGTTCAGTTTCCCCAGCCCAAAAGCTGCGCGTAATTACACTTCATTTGTTTCTGTTATCATTGATTCATGCTATTTTCAAACCATGTTCAGGTATTCTCAATCTTGCAGTGGAAATGAATTCTCAAATTCTGCCTTGCCCTCCTCTTCTGGTACTTACTTAATAGATCATATAAAGTCTTAAAGAATTTTAAACAGATCCGTAGAGGTCATCTGGTGCAACCCATTCATTTTATAGATGAAGAAACTGAGGCCAAGAGAATGAAAAGAACTTGCCCAGGACCACATAATTCATTTATGGCAAAGCCTAGGGGATAGAACCCAGGTTTACTGACTTCACATCCAGTGTGGCACAGGTTATCCCCTGTCCCTGGAGTTCCCTCATTCCCCCTCCTTTTGCTTTGCTTCCTAGAATCCCAAATTTATTATGCTACTCTATCACACACTGCTTTTATTCTATTCCTGGTATGTTAGGGATAATTAGAAGTGCTTTCTCTTGAGAAACTGGGATTCAGAAGAAATCTTTGAACACATTTTAACAGCTCACCACCCAAGGATTAGCCCATCCCACACTTACTTAATGTTCTCCATCACAGTGGCCATGCCTTCAATAAATGATTTGGAATTTGTCCCTTTTTTTTTTTAAATCCCACTCTCATCTCCACTGTAGTAGCTATAGAAAATATGCAGTTATCCCTTTCACATTGTAGGGGTTAGGGGTGTGGTACCCCTGCAATCTGGAAAATCCACGTAAAAATTTTGGCCCTTCCTTTATATAAGAGAAATCTGATTTTTTTATTTTTCTTTTATGGAATGTTTACAGTACTTTATTGTAAAATTTGGGTTAAGTATTTGGACATAGGCCCTGCGTTGTCTGCTGGCCTTCATGTGTCATCTGTGACTTTCATAAAACTCCCCCCAAATTCACATTCAATTTCTTATGACAGCCCTTGATATATCAAAACCATGATGGGGAAAGTTGCAATGTGGAAGGAATAACTATAACTACTTAATCTCTTGGATATTGCCCATTTTTATGTGAGTTCTGGACAGAACCTTTGTGTCTGTTTCTTCTGCAAAAGAAATAAATGTAGCATAGTAGAGATAGTATTGTCCTAAGATTTGGGAAGATTTGCATTTAAATCCCATCTCTGACATTTAGTTAGTTGTGTGACCACAGGTAAGAGGCCACTTAACTGTTGAGCCTCAGTTTCTTTATATGTAATATGGGAATATTAATTCCTTATAATAAATACCTTATAATTTCTGTGAGGACTAATTTTGGGGGGGGGAGACTGGACCTGTTAATTTCATCAATGAAGAGAACTTCCAATGAGGAAACAGCCTCCACCAATGCTGATCACCAAATCTTTCGTGCCTTACAATCTTAGACAGTTGTTGATGATACCTAGAGGTTATGTGAATTGCCCAGTCATAAAGGCCATATGTGTCAGAAGCTTAGGTAATATAATGTATTCAAACATTTGCAAAATTTAACATGAGATATTAGTGTCAGTTCTGGCTGCTGTTGTTAGTGGTAGTAGTAGTCAGTCAGTCAGTTAGCTAAGTATCTAAGTTTCAGACACACTGTCAAGTGCGAGAGATAACAAGAAATCAAAAACCAGCCCCTAATTTCAAGGAGCTCATGCCGGCCAGGTTTCCAATGATTAAATTCATTTTCTATGAGGATTGTAAAGAATCTTTGCCATTAGGTTACAGATATCCCAGCAACCCATAAAAACATCATTAGCTGTTAATCTGTAAAACCCTTCAGAAGCAAAATATTATTAGTGTTAAGTTATATTATCCATTTTATTGTAGGATCATAAGATTTAGATTTTGTAGGAGCCTTAAAGTTCATCTGGTTAATCTCATCTTTGCAGCATGCCACGCTCCCCACCATATTATAGATAACAAAAACTTGAGGCCCAAAGAGACTGTGATATGACCTTAAGTTTATTATGCTTGATTTTTTGAAGGACCATGCTGCTTTTTTCACAAGCTTGCTCTCTGAGCCTTATATCATTTTTTGTGATAGTAATAGTTTTTTTTTTAAATCATGTTGTTATGAATAATGTGTGTCATTATATTACTTATCAGTGTACATAATTTCCTTGAATAACAATCAGGGGATATCAAAAGCCACTGCATGTCACAGCTTACCTTTTTTTTTTTTTTTTTACTATAGTATCTTGCCATGGAAGAGAGGTTTTGACCGTAGGCTTTAAAATTGTCTTAAATTTTTTTTTGTCTTGTTCATAAAGTTTCTTTTTAAAATGTGATGGAAAATCAGTTGACTCTCAGTGACCTGTAATCCATATCACAAAGTGCCACTTATATTGCTTTACCACCAAAAGACTGTTAGGCTTTTGTCAGAGGAGGCAGAGGATTTATAGAGTATGGAGTTTGAAATTCTATGTCATTATGCTGGAAACCAGTCCTTAGCCAGTTAGGACTGAAGTGCATTGACAGAGCAGTGAGTGAAAGCAATTATTAAGAGAGCTCTTTAAAAAAATATATATTTTATTGATATGACTTGCAGGTTAAGATTGAGGTACATTGGCAAAAGAGGACGAGAAAGTGAACAGAGTGCCTTCCTGTATTATGCTTAATGTCTGTCCATATCATTATGCCCTCCCTTCCATCAGCATTGCATTTTAACAAAATATGACACAATTTAAAAGGTGGCAGAGAAATTGGTCTGATGTTTTTCTGATGAGCTTTTTTCTAATAGTATCTGTTAGTGTAAACCTCTAATGCTGCTTCTGAAGTTTGTGAAGTCCACAGTCCTTTTTTTCCTGTCTAAAATATCCCAGTACTCCTGAATCTGTGATCTCATTGATGTGGGTAGAACTCTGACAATGTCAATCACAACCCATCCATTCCTGCCTCTTCTGGGCAACTCTTGCAGCTATCAGTGAAGCCATATAGGTTGTCCATCATTTATTCCTTGCTCTTGACTTGGGGCTAGCCCATCTTTTTTTTTTCTCCAATCATCAATTTCTTTTATGACATTCTTTTGGTTACTTCTGATTCTTTCCTTGTTTGTACTGTAACATGCTATATTATTTAAAACTGTTTCATGGTACAGCTGAAGCGTGCTTCTAATTCAGCCCTCTAATTTTTCAAATGGGGAAATTAAGGATCTGGGAAGTGAAGTCATTTATTTACTCAAAGTCACATTGACATGTAACGTAGATCTTCATTCTGATCAAATGATCTGCATCTTTGAAAAAGTAGTAGCTAACATTTTATAGCTTTTTGAGGTTTGCAAAATGCATATCTTATTTGATCCTCACAACAATCCTGAAAGGCAAGTGCTACAATTATCCCCATTTTACAGATGAGGAAACTGAAACAAAGGCTAAGTGACCTACCTAGGGCCACACAACTTGTAAATATTTGAGGCTGGATTTGAACTTGGGTCTTACAGATTCCAGGTCCAATGTTTCTGCTCACTGCTCCACCTACCTACCTCATTAAGCACATATGTAATAAGCTTCTTAGTCATGATCCTGTCCTCATCCTTTTAACAGTGTCCATACTAGCAGTGGAAGAGTATGAAGAAATGCAGGTGAACCTTGAATTGGAAAAGGATCTTCGAAAGAAAGCTGAGACATTTGCACAGGAGGTGAGTGTGACTCATGAAAACAACACTGAGGCTGTTTTTAAAACAAAACCAAACCAACAAAGATCTTTGCCAATGACATAACAGTTTGACTTTCTGAGGCAGGGGTAGAACACAACACATGAAATTCATCGTCCACTGATGCACCACCAGAGTATATAACTTGAAGACTGGACCACCCACAGCCAGGTTATCAGGAAGCTTCAGAGAGCCTTGGGTCACATATTGCTTCTGTTGCCATAAGGTTTGTGACAAATGCAACTACAACAAGCAAGGCAGAATTGTGACTCAAGAATTGAGGCTGGCAGAAATGATATCTTGGCTGCACGAATTGGGCAAATCACTTAAACTCTTCAGACCTCAGTTTCCTCATCTATAAAATGAGAGGGGTTGGACTGGATATGGACTCTAAGGATCCTTCTCACTCTCAATCTATGATCCTAAATTTGAAGGAAGCAAGAATCAGCAAAGATTTTTTTAAGCAGTGCAAAAGACATAATCATCCTTGTGCATAGGTGATATTCAACTGGTATTATTATATAGGATGGCTTGAAGTGGGGAGAGATTGGAATCTAATGGTTTCTCCAGGAGTAATTATATTTTCTTAGATGAGAGATAATGAGGAACCTAGAGTAGAGAAGTAGAAATAAGCATGGAAATAGGGTAGATGTAGAAGGTATTTTGAAGGTAAAAATTATAATACTTGGTACCTATTTGTTGTAGGAAAAGGAGGGCTCTCAAAATGGCATTAAGATTTGGAACATGGAGGAGATATAATACCCTTAATAGAAAAAGAGAAATTATGAGGAAATTCAGGTTTGGGTAGAAAGATGATGAGTTCTGGGCGTATTGGCTTGGAGGGTCTGTTGGAACAAGAGACAGTTAAAAATTCAGATCTAGAGCTTGGTAGAGAGATCAGAACTAGAGTTAGATTTGAGTCATCTGTAGAATTGACATTAGAAGTTAGAGAAGCATATCAACTCACCAAGGGAGAGATTAGAGAGAAAAAAAGAAAGGTCAAAGTCAGCTGAGTGGGGAAAACCAACATTTACATTTTCTGTATCATGGATGCTTTTGGCAATCTCGTGAAGCTTAGGGACTCCTCCTTAGAATATAACATTATAGAAGAAACCAGTTCTATTAAAATAGTTATCAAAATATATTTAAAAAAAACAAACCAAGGTTACAGAACCCGAGCTAACAACCCCTGATTAGGTGTTAGGAGGAAGAGAAGAAAGCAAAAGAGAGAAAAGAAGTCATCACAGAGCAGGTGGAGGACTAGGATGGGCAGTTAAAATGTTTGAACAGTATGGCTCTTAGTCCTCTTGACCTTTGGAAATGATAGATGCTATAACTGGATGGAACCATCTAAGCGACTGGAGTAAAGTTCATTTACATGTAGTCTTCTGAATCAGTGTATCATGCTGTGGGACTTAGGGAAGCTATTTAAAGGGTAACAGTGAAAGGAATATCTTCTCTAGAAAATCTAATGACTTATTTTCAGTCTTCATCCTTGACCTCTGAGCAATGTTTGACATTGTTGGCCCCCCTCTCCTCCTGGATGCTCACTCCCCTGTGAATTTCCCCAGCACTGCTTTGTCTAGGTTTTCCTCTTACTATCTTACAGCATCTTCTTTGTTTCCTCTGCTGAATCATTCTCTCTCACATCCCCTAGCTATGGACATATCCAAAAGTTCTGTGTCTCTTCTCTGTTTTTATTTGGTGAGTTCATCACCTCTCACGGGTTTAATAATCATCTCAATGCATGTCTCCAAGATACTCATCACTCTCCTGAGTTCAGAGCCACTTTTCAGACTGGATATTTTATTAGTCATTTCAAATTCAACATGTCCAAAAGAGAAGTAAATATCTTTCCATGTAAAACTCACTCTTCTTCTGCACTTCCCTCTTTATGTCAAGGGCACCACCATCTTTCCAGTCACATGTGTTCCAGTCAGTATCATCCCTTGTTCCTCATTCTACCTCACTGCACACAGTTAATCAGGTGTGCAAAATCTTTTAGTTTCTTCCTTCACAAGAATCTACTTCTTTGGGTCTGGGTAATTGGGAATCTAATGCAGTGACTTTGCCATCATGATTAGGAAGTATCAGTGAAAGCTGGAATTGTTGTGAAGGTGATAAATGGGATTTATACACAGTAACAAACAGACATTAAGAATAAATCCAGAGAAGTAAAAAAAAAAGAATCCACCTCTTTCTTTCTATTCACCCAGCCACCACTTCAAGTTTAGATTCTCATTACCTCTGACTTGGACTATTCCAACAGCTTTCTAATAGGTTTCCCTGCCTCTTTCCTTCCCTTTCTCTGGGCCATCCTCCACACTGCAGTCAAAGTGACTTTCCTAAAGTGCATGCCTGGCCATGTCAGCTCCACTATTCAATATCAGTGGTTTCTTATTACCTCTAGGATCAAATATATACTCCTCTGCTTGACATTTAAAGTCTTTCAGGAACTGGTCCTACTCTATCTTTTCCAGTCTTCTTATAAATTACTTTCCTCCATTATACTGGGAGCTCCTTGAGAGCAGAGACTGAGATTTTTGTTTGTTGATTTTGCTTTTTGTCTTTTTTTGTGTACCTACATTCAGCACAGTCAGTACCTGGCTCATAGTAGGGGCTGAATAAATGTTTATTGACTTCATGACCTCCTTACTCTGGCCAAATTGTCCTTGTTTCTGGTTTTCATAGAGTATACTCTTGCCTGTCTTCATGCCTCTGTACAGATTGTTCAGCCCTCCCCCCCCTTTTTTTCTTCTGCTTCTTAGAATCTCTAGCTTTCTCCAAGATTTGGTGCAAGCATCACTTTTCACATAAAACACTTCCCGAATCACCCCTCTTCCTAACTACTAGCATCTTTCCCACAAAATCTCCTCCTGTTTATTTTTAATAGACCCACATATGTACATGTTGTTTCCTCCTAGAATACAAACTCCTTGAGAGCAAGGACTAATTCATTTTAGAGTTTGTATCCCTAGTGCTTAGCATTTGGTTGGCATTTAGTGGATTCTTGGGAATTGATTGATTGAAGGGAAAGAAAGCCCTGATTGGAAAGTAGGAGTGGAAGGAAGTTAAAGAATCAGAGTTATAATGACAACATTTGAAAATCAGTTTCTGGTTTGGTGAAATAGCTTTTCCAAGCTTAAATGTCATTGTCCTGCCATTATGCTTTGGGAAAGGTTTAATCAAAGATGATCTACCTCAAAGCATTATGATGCATTTCTTTCAGAAGCTCTAATGAAAGGTAAGTAAATATTGTCATTTTATTATTAGGGGAGGGGGGGAGAAAAAGGAACCAAAGTATGTCAGAGCCCTCTGGGGGAAAAAAGCTGTAGAAGTATAAATAATGGACATAAATAAGCAATGGGGTGGTGAGGGATAGGGGAGGGAGATATCAGCATGAATATACCTACATTGCTGAAGTGAAAAGGTTGGCTGATTTTGAGTTGAATGCCAGCATCATATTTTGAAAGACATTTAAGTTTCCCATCTGTTCTTTATAGAATGGTGTTAGAATATAAAGCTGCTTGGGGAAAACCTTGAAGGCTATGGTAGTAGTGGAGAGGAGAGATCAAAGGAGCAAGATTTCACAAAGAATAAGGAAATGAATTAGCTATTCTTCCATAGCGAGATTGTAATAAATATTTATTGCTGGTGATAACAACATTGGCATGTTAACCCCAATGAGAGAACAAAATGGAAATGTGAGATGGGAACAGGAGAACAGAAACAGCGGCATTTAACATTGCCATTAACAGGGATACTTGCATTAGTGCTGAACATTAAAAAATAAAAAACATCAAGATATTACCTTAAGCATTTTTATGAATCTAGGGCAAAATATACTTTATTGTGATAGTGAATCTTTTTCTCTTTCTTTAAAGATAAAATCAGATTGAAAATGGCAAAAGGTGGGGAAAAAACAAGAAATAACCCAGTACAGAAAATATGAAACTCAGAGCATTTAATGAGACTCCTAATTTAGCTGTTTCTTTTGGACTGTATTAAGATTTGAAAATTTGTGTATTTTTTTCAGTACATCTTTGCAACTTTTTGTTGGAAGATGCCTTTATCATCTATTGCTTATATGGTCCATATGCTAGCTGATACAACTTAAAATAAACAAATATTTATGAAGTAAAACAGTGCCTGCCCATAAGAAGCTTAAAATCTAGCAGGGGGAAACAACATATGGAGATATAGGTAGAAAATGATAATAATAATAATAATAATAATAATAATAATAATGATGATGATGATATAAACTAGTCTTTATATAGAACCTTGAAGTTTGCAAAGTGCTTTATAAATATTATCTCATTTGATCCTCACAACAACCTGGGAAGTAGGTGTTATTGTTATTCCCCATTTTAAAGATGAGGAAGCTAAAGCACAATAAAGTTAAATGACTTGACCAGGGTCACACAGCTACTAAGTGGATGAGACTAGATTTGAACTTGAGTTTTCCTGACTCTAGGTCCAGTGCTCTATACCTAACTGCCTCAAATTAGGCAGAGAAGGCTCTAGCAGCTGGGAGAGAATCAAGAAAAGCTCTATCTAGAAGTGGAACCTCAAAGAAAACTAGGTATTCTAAAAGATGGATATGAGGAGGGAGGAATGAATTCCAGGCCATGCATTCCTCATTCTGCATATTTGTTTGCGATAATACTGATGACATTAATAGCAGTCCTTTATATTTGTGCAGATTTGTATGAATTTACTTCATTATTGACAAAGTACTTTCACATGCATTATCTCCTTTGATCCTAATGATAGCCTTGAAAGGTCATTTGGGCAGGTGGTATCATTATCCTCATTTTACGGAGAAATTACCAGAGGTCACACAATTACTAATCCTGCAAGGGATTATATTGTCTATGGCATATACCTCTAAGTTTTTGATCATTCATTTCCTCCTTCCTGGAGTCCCTTTCCCTCCCTCACTTAAAATCTGCCCCATTATTCCCGGTCCACATTAAGTCCCAAGCCTTTTTCCCATCCAAGCCCACACAGATCTCTTTCTCTTGACTAGTCCCTTACCACACATTGTTTGTCCCACCTGACACTTAATCGTAAGCTAAACATTGTAGTCTGCAGGTATTGTAAAGGATCTGCTCTGGGTAAAGTCCTCTGTTAGCACTAGGCTTATAAAGATAGAAATGAACTATAGTCCTTGCCCTAAGGATGTTGGCACGCTAATGGGGCATATACAAACAAGAAAACTGATCACATTTGATGTGTATGTTTTATTTCCCCTACTAGATTTTAATGGAAATAGGACATTGTAGTGTATATATATCTAAATAAATATTTCTTGACAGCCTCCTATGGGAAAAACACTGTGTTAGGTGTTGTGAAGGCACCCAGTGAAGTGTCTGGAACTTAGGGTTGATGAAGAAGAGTGGCGTGAGATGATTTAACAATCTATATCAGTACCTGGACAGAGCTTCTTGGCATCTGAGTCTTAAGAGAGTAGTTTTGCTTATGTGACCCCGAGCCAACCCTTCATAATTAAAATTATTTCTCAACAGACCTCTCTAGGTCTAGCCCTTGCATAGATCTGGTTATATTCTTCTGCTCAAAACCTTTCAATAACTCCCTTCTGCCTCCTGAGTAAAGTTCCTTAGCCTGGTATTCAAGACCTCCTATAATCTGGTACCACATACTGTTCCTCTTATTCATATTCCTCCCTTCTCATATTCTGTGCTCCAGCCAAGGTGTCCTCTCTCATCCCCCTTCCCTCATCATACTGTCTTGCCTCCCTGACTTTTGCTTGAGCTGTTTCCTGTGCCTGCATCCCATTGTCCCACTTCCATCTCTCAAAGCTCCTCTCCATTACCATCTCCTTCAAGAGCACATTCCTCCCTCCAGGTATCAATGACCTTTCCTTCCCCTACTAGCAATCTCATGTAGTTTTTTGCTTATATCTCCATAATGCAATTACAGTATGTTACTGGTTCTTGTAGTTACTTGTGTGTGCACCCTGTTCTTCCCCTTCTACTCAGCTATTACACCTAACATTTATGTGGTGCTTTTAAGTTTGCAAAGAACCGTGCATATGTTAACTCATTTGATCTTCACAACAACCCTGTGAGTTAGGTGCTATTACTATCTCCATTTTACAGGTAAGGAAACTGAGGAACTGAACGTTTAAGTGATTTGCCTAGGGTCACATAGCTACTAAGTATCTGAAATAAAAATTGAACTCAGGTCTTCCTTACTCTAGTCTTGCACTCTGTTTGCGGAGCTACCTGGCTGCCTCAAACCTAGATCTAACTAGAATGTCAGCTCAATGAGGTCAGGAACTAGGTCTTAACCCTATATACTGAAGCTACTTTATGGATTTTGTTGAATTGCAATTGAATTTAATCCCTGTGGATCCATTAGAGAAAGTCAGTAAACATATATTAAGTGCCTACTATGTGTTGGGCACTGTGCTAAGATCTCAGGGTACAAAGAAAAGCAAAAGAGAGTCCCCACCCTCAAGGAGCTTAGAATCTAGCAGGAGAAGGCAATACCCCAAAGCTTCTTACCCAGAGTCACTCAGCTACAAATACTGTTCTTTGAAGTTTCTTCTCCACTACTCAGTGAACAAATAGTTACTAAATACCTGTAAGAACAAAACACCATGATTGAGACCGTGGCATCTCCCATAAAGAAGTGTCAAGACAGGCTCCTTGTGCTCCCAGAAGCCACCATAATTTAATAATAATAATGTTAATAGCTAACACTTACATAGGGTTTACTATGTGCCAGGAACTTTGCTATGTGCTTTACAGTTTTATCGCATTTGATACTCACAACAGCCCTAGGAGGTAGATGCTACTATTATTCCCATTTTACAGCTGAGGAAACTGAGGCAAACAGAGATTAAGTGACTTGCCCAGGGTTACACAGCTAATAAGTGTCTGGAGGCAGAATTCGAACTCAGGTCTTTATTACTCCAGGCCTGGTGCTCTATTTCTTTTTAATCCAGACCTCTCATTGAGGAAACTGATTTCCAAAAAAGACAAATGGTTTGTCTAAGGTGGCACCAGCAGCAGAGCCAGGATTCAACATCGGGTCTGACCTGAAATTCAGCACTCTGTCCATCATACTGCTCTGCCACTCATAGCATATGCTTAGTGCCAATAAATAACACAGGCAGTGAGTCCTATAGGAAATCAAGTGTCCTAAGGCTTTAAATGCACACATTTTACAAAATAATGCTGGATGCCAGGCTATGCCAGGCTTCCCTGCAGCTGATGTTGCTGTGTGTGAATGCCAAGCTCTGAAAATTAATCAGGGTGCAAATAATAGTGTTCTGTCATTTTTCTGCATGAAAAAAAAGTATCTTAGTTGAGTGTATTCTACACATGAGAGACTGACAGGTGGAAGCACATGCTTCCAAAGAGCAGATCGGCGGCATTCATGTTGTTCCTGCCTCTAGTTCCTACAGATGGTGGAATTGATATGTTTTGTTTTCCAAGCAAAGCTAAATCATTATTGCTCGTCCCTGTCCCTGATTCATTTAAGACTCATTAATTAAGTGCTGCTCTGTATCTTGATACTTAGGGCCAGGCACTGAAGGTCAAATGCAGTTCATGAAGAACACATGGTCCCTGTCCTCAAGGAGCTTGCACCCTGTATTATTTATTCAGTCATTCAACAAATGTTTATTGGGTGTCTGCTATTTGCAAGACTCCAAGTACCCTGCTGGTTTGTGTTCCTCTGGCAGTGATTTTAGTGCTAATAAGTTATTCTCGTGCCCTGTCCTTGAAACGGAAAGGAAGATGGAGGAAAGTGGCCTCGATAGGTGATCACATTTTAGGATCGTGTCTCATTGGAGGATTGTGGTAGATCTTTGCCCTTCTTGGGAAAAAGTAAGAGCATATGTAGGTGTTATTATGGAGTATGTGGGCTTTATGTTTTTTTAAAGTGACATAGAGTGCCTGAAGATTGGAATGCTGATCCAGAAAAATCAACCTAATTTCAGTTTGAAAAATCTGACCCTGGGGTCACCCTCCCACTTTACATATATAGGGTGAAAAAAATTAATGAAGTAAAAAAGAAAAAAATCATTTTTACTCCTGCTAACTACTGTTTAATTTCTGTGGGAGGAAACACATGGTAGTCCCTCCCAAAAAATTGTCTAGGATATTCTTGGTATGTATTTATACGGCTGTGTTAAATGCTGTCTTTTTTTTTTTTTCCCCAGAATCTTTAGCTCAGCTAAAGAGCCTCTAAGATGTATTCCTTTACCTACCCTGGAAATGAAAATTCAATGGGCCTTTCTTTTTCTTTTCATCAAGTTGCACTTGGAGATCTAAGTGGAACAGTTTGTCTATTTCTTTGTTATTAACTTTTGCAGATGTTCATTGAACAAAACAAGCTTAAGAGACAAAGCCACCTTCTGCTGCAGAGCTCGGCCCCTGACCAGCAGCTTTTGAAAGCTTTAGAGGAAAATGCAAAACTCACCCAGATCTTAGAAGAAGAGAGAATTCAACATCAACAAAAGGTAAAGCTAGATTTTCTTTCAGAAGACTTAAAAAAAACATTTTTTTCTTTTAAGTTTAAACACAGTCAGCTAGTTATTGATTATTTGTTCTAACTGAGGGGTCAGCACAGAATGGATGAATGAAGTCCATGTACATAATTCTACACTTCACGTTATTCATTGGTTTCTGTCTTCTTGCAGCCGGCCTTGACCAAAAAACAATAAATAAATAAAATTACCAAATTGAACTAAAGGACACACTGTATTTAAAGTTCGAATGAATGGTATAAGATAGGAAGGAGCAAGGGAAGGAAGCAGAAGGGAATGAATGGATAATGCAGAACCTGAATAACTGAGAGTTGATTGTACGTCTTAGGTTTTGAAATATTCTCAAAAAAAATTCTCAAAATTTATCTTTAGGGAATACTGAAGCTTTATTCCCTAACTTTCACAGGGAGGAAAAGAGACCCATGGGAGTAGTAATTGCTTGCTTATAGAAAGGCTAGTTTTGTCAACTAGCCCAAATTGTATACATTTAAAGAGTTGGTGAGTGGTTCTTTCAATGTGCCATTCAAGCCAACATAGCCTACCCATAGGGAACTGAAGGCTTCAAGCAGAAAAGGATAGTCATTGTAGTAGCTGAAGACAGAGGAAGTGGGAGAGGAGAGAGGGAAAGAGGAGGAACAAGGACTTTAAAATTAAAATATCGACTTTAGAAAAATTACATCAACACTGGAAGCACTTAAAATGTTTGGGGGTGGAGTGGGGGGTGGAAGGAAGAAAGAGTTTATAAGATGCTATTTGTTAATACTTACATGTCCCCTCTATTGAATAACAATTGCAATTTATTTTTGCGAGTGCTGATATTTTTACAAAATAATCATTGGAAGGGTTAGGGTGGAGGGATAGAGTTAAATTAATCTAGTTAGGTACAACTGTGTGTGAATTATTTGGGACAAAGTGAAATAATTACATTGATTGACGTACAATTAACCTCAGAATTTTTTTCATCTTTAAAAATATTTTAAAATAGATTTTTAATGATATTTTTTGTTTTTATATTGCCTATATTTTCTCTTTGTATTTCTTCCCCTCTACCCTACCAGGGAATGTCCCATATAGAAAAGAATTTTTTTTTTGAACAAGAAAAAGAATTTCAGCAAAATCAATTAGTACATCAAAAATATTTAACATTGTATATAATATGTCATACCCATGGAGCCCCTACTTCTACAAAGGATTGGGGGAAAGGAGATGTCTTTTTACATCTCTTCCTTATTCATTACAGTTTTTCACTATTAACTTTGGTTATTTCATAGTTGTTCTTTGAATTTCAATTTACATTGTAATAGCCATTATTATATCTATTGTTTTCCTGATTCTTTTTACTTTATGCTTCATTAATTCATATGTTTTTAAAGGTTTTCTGTATTTTTCATTTAATCTTTTTTAATGCACATTAATTCCATCATATTCATATGCCACAACTTGTTTAGCCATTCTCTAATGAATGGGCATATGCTTTCTTTCCAATTCTTTGTTAACCCAAAAAGTGCTACTATAAATATTTTGGTATATTTGGATCTTCTCCTTTTATCTTTGACTTGATCTGTGTATGTTAATATGCAAGATTTCTTTTTATGGTAACCACTTGATTTACATGACGTCATTAAATTTGCAAGATTAAGACACATCTTTTATTCTTCATCACGAAACCACATTTTTTTATCATATTGAATATTAAGCATCACTTCGACGAACAGTCCATTTTCCCAAGTTTAGCCTTTATTATAACCCATAGGTTTTCAGTTAGATTTTAATCAATTGAGTTCCACGGCCATTTGAGAAGGAAATTTATTTCCATGTCTTTGATAAATTTCTTAACCTTTCACGATGTATGGCATGGTGCAAAATCCACATTCCAGGAGTCCATTTCCATTTGAGAATTTCTGTAATTCTGGAAAAGTTCTTTGTCTCAGTATATCATTGTATTTATCACAGTTCATCATTCCCTCAATGAAGGCTAAACTTTCAGATCCACTGGAAGTTAAAAAAAAAAAATTCTTCAAACATTCTTTGAGTGTGTATGTTTGATAGTCTTACCAGATCATTTGAACTTCTGGTAACAGTTTTGATAAAGTATTGAATAAAAAAATCTCATGAGTAAAAAATTACCTCTTTCAAAGCTTCAGTCCTCCCAGATCTATATTGTATTGTTCTTAAGTGTTTTTCTTCATAGTGGTGATAAGCAACTGTTTGGTTCTTTTTCCTCTTATTATTCTTCTACCTTCAAGAAGCTTACGCTACCTTGTAGAGGAACCACTAACAACCCTTCTAAGGAAGGGAAAAGAACAAACATTTAATAAGCACTTACTGCATGCCAAATACTGTGCAAAGCACTTTACAAATGTTATCCTATTTGATCTTTACAACAACCCTGGAAGACAGGTGATATTACGACCCCCGTTTTACAACTGACAAAACTGAAGCAGACACAAGCTAAGTGCTTTACCCAGGGTTGCATAGTTAGTAAGTGCTTGAGGCCAGATTTGAACTCAGGTCTTCCTAACTCCAGGCTCAACACTATCCACTGTGCCACCTAGCTACCTGCCAGTTCTTTTTGAAGATCATTGCTTATTTTCTGAGGGTTAGATTGGTTTTCAGTGTATCAGTTCTTGGCGTTGTTTTTAATTTTCCATCATACTTTACATTTCAGTTCATTGCACCTAATCCTGCTTCATTGTGGGCTTGAATGATCCTTAAGATATTTGACTTCTCCAAACCAACAGCTACTACAATATCTCTACCAGTCATCAAAGTGTGCTTTTTAAGACCTATATACCTTTTTCATGTTTGTCTGGAATCATATCTGTTCTTAAAAACCACAGGATTAAAAACACAACAAAAGAGATCAATAAAACATGCATGTGGCACAAAATCCAGCACTCAACTGACAAAGAGCTAACTAAATGTGGAGAAACCAACTCAGTCAAGTTTCATCTTGTCAGGATCAGATGTTCTAAGTTATCTCACTGTCAGTAGAAGCACACATACATGAGAATTACTATCACAAAATGAGACAATATCAGAATCATTGTTTGTCCTAGGTAATTCACACACAACTGTAGTATTGTTGGCAGTTTAGTCCATGCTCTTAGAAGAATTTACAGCATCCTTCAGTCTTACTGGATCTGGACCTTTGTCATCAAATCATCTAGCTCAAGATTTCATCATCTTTTGTCTAGAATATTGAAAAGCCTCCTAAATGACTTTCATATTTCAAATCTCCCCCTTCTGCAGTACATCCTTCATATAAGCTGCCAAAGTATTATTCCTAAAGCCCAAGTCTAACCAATCACTCTCCTGAGTAATAAGCTACACTGGTTCCCTGTTGTCTATAGAATCCAATATTAGCTTAGCTTCTTGGTTTGGTTTTTAAAGTCCTTGCCAATCTGGCTCCAACCTACCTTTCCAGGCTTATTGCGTATTACTCCCCTTCACAGACTTTTCTCCTAGTCAGACTCACCTTTTTGTTCTTTCATACAACATCCCATTTCCCATCGCTAGAGATGGAAGCCTTTGTACAGGTTATTTTCCATGCCTGGAATGCACTAAGCCTATCAAGAATCCCCAGCTCCTTCAAAGTTCAATTTAAGCCCCACCTCATATATGAAACTCTTCTTAATCAACATAGCCTTGATCAAAATAGCCTTTCCCTGAAATTACCCTGCACTTACTTTGGAAATACTTATGAATATGAGCATTGGACTCAATCTAAAACCAATAGAGTCAAATGTAAGGCCTTGCACTTGAATACAAAACAATAATAATAATAGCTAGCATTTATATAGTGCTTGCTATGTGCTAAGCTAATTGCTTTCCAATTATTATCTCATTTGATGCTCACAACAATCTTGTAAGGTAGGTGCTATTATTATCTCCATTTCATAGAAGTGGAAACTGAGGCAAACAGAGGTGAAGTGACTTATCCAGGATCACAAAGCTAGTAAGTGTCTGAGGCAGCATTTGAACTCAATTTTTACTGACTCCAGGGCTGGTCCTCTATCTACTAAACCACCTAGCTGCATACTTATCAGTGTTGTTTCCCTCTTAATAAATATAACCTCCTTGAAGGCAGGAAATTTCACTTTATGTCCAAAGTGCCAAAACAATTCCTGGCATGTAGAAGTCATTTAATAGTTTGTTGTTTGAGTGATCCAAACTTCAGATCCAAAAGTTTACCAAATACCTGGATTTCTTACTAGAAAGTGAATCCAAATTGGAGGTTTTAACTGTTTTATGTAAATTTTCACCCATCTTTACACTTTTTGAAGTTATTCCATTTGTTTGGACCTGGTTAAAAAAAACTAGGTCAGTTTCTTTTAGTTGATGAAGTTCTAAAAAGAAAAGTTGTGATTACAAAGAGTTAGCATAATTTCAGTAAGAACAAGTCATCCCACACCAACCTTGTTTCCTTTTTTGGCTCAATTTCTAAGGTAATCATTGAAGGTCAATGCTATGAAAATGGTTTCTTATATTTTAGCATAGCTTTTAATAAAGTTATCTCATATTGTTTTCATGGAGAAGATGGAGAAATATGGAATAGATGATAATACAGTTAAATGGATTCAGAGTTGGTTGTATGTTTGGAGCTGAAGAATACTTATTAATGGTTCTAGGTCAGTATGACAGGAGGTCCTCAGTGAAGTGCCACAGGGATCTGTGCTTGGCTCTATGGTGTTTAAAATTTTTATCAGAGGCTTAGATAAAGGCATAAATGGTGTGCTTATCAAATTTGCAGATGCCATAAAATTGATGTCAGTTAGGAGTCACAAGGATCTTGACAGCATGGAGCATTGGATTCAATCTAAAACCAATAGAGTCAAATGTAAGGCCTTGCACTTGAATACAAAACAATAATAATAATAGCTAGCATTTATATAGTGCTTACCATGTGCTAAGCTAAGTGCTTTCCAATTATTATCTCATTTGATGCTCACAACAATCTTGGGAGGTAGGTGCTATTATTATCCCCATTTCATAGAAGTGGAAACTGAGGCAAACAGAGGTGAAGTGACTTACCCAGGATCACAAAGCTAGTAAGTGTCTGAGGCGGCATTTGAACTCAATTTTTACTGACTCCAGGGCTGGTCCTCTATCTACTAAACCACCTAGCTGCATTGTGCAATTGACAAGTATAAGATGGTGAAGGTGTGATTTTACAGTTGTTCTGAAAAAGACCTGGTGTTTGGTGTACTTCTAAAACCACCCAATATAGGTTACTAGTGTGATTGATGTAGCAGCCAAAAGAACTAATGAAGTGTTGAGTTGTACTGAGAGACAAAGTCCCACTTCACTCTACCCTTATTAGACCTCTTCTGGAGTATCACTCTCAGTTCTGGGCACCACAATTTAAGAAGGATATTGATCAATTGGAGAGTATACAGAGGAGGGCACCAAAGATGGTGAAGGGCTTCTGGTTCACGACATAAAAGAATCAGTTGAAAGAAGTACAACTGTTCAGCATATAGAAAAATAGATTAAGAGAGATATGGAAGCTGGCATCAGATATTTGAAAGGATATTATGTGAATCGGAGATTAGATTCCTCCTGTTTGGCCGTGGGGAGGGGAGGCACTGAACTAGAAGCAAAAGGGAGAGGGTTACAAAAAGGCCAATTGAGGTTTGACTTAAGAGAAAAATAACAAAACTTCTGAGCCATCCACAAGTGGAATAAGCTGCCTCGAGAAGTGGGTGGTTCCCCCTCCTTGGAGGTCCTCACACAGAGGCCAGACTACCACACGTCAAGCGGGTGAGCGTGGGAGTTCTTTCTGTGTATAGGGTGGTCTACATGGCCACCGAGGTCTCTTCCAGTTGTCAGATTCTGTGATTCTGATCGTAATAATCTGCAATCCAGAATTTGTAGTCTTCTAAGTATCCCATTGTATCTGTCTGTGAAGTACAGTCAAAGGAACAATCATTTCTGTTTTCCCTGCCAAAGGATGACAGTAACCACATAAAATTTTTAAAATTTACAGGTTAAAGAACTGGAAGAGCAACTAGATAATGAAACACTCCATAAGGAGATCCATAATCTCAAACAGCAACTGGAGCTTCTGGAAGAAGATAAGAAGGAATTAGAGCTGAAGTATCAGAATTCCGAGGAGAAGGCTAAAAATCTAAAGCACTCAGGTAAAATTGTGCAAGCTCAAGGTTAGCATTTAAACTCCTTTAGCTCAAACTGTTCTAGCTTTACAGAATTACAAGGGATGGTGAAGCCATCTATCCGTTAGTCCTTGGGTTTTTTTTTTCATGAACTTTGGGCTTATCTAAGACCTAAGAATCAATTGAAACAAACTGGAAATATCCCAAACTTGAGAGATTTTTTTTTTAGGTTTTCAGACACTGTCAGGGAATACTGTTTTTTCTATTATGTGTTGTTTTGCCTTTTTTTTTAACGTAAGCAAAATGGGATGTGGCCATCAGCATATTGAATATTTCATGACACACAGTGGATAATAATATTCTTAACACCACACTTAACAGTATAGTGCATACAGTAACCCACATTTTTGGCCTAGATTTGTGATTTCATTAATGAGGAATTTATCTATTCAATATGTATGTTGTTTGTACATAGTTATTTGCATGTGATTGTGAACTCCTTAAGAACAAGATCTGTTTTTTTTGTTGTTGTTGTTGTTATTTGTTTGTTTTTTGTCTTTTTATCCCCAGTGCTTAGCACAGTGCCTGGGACATAGTAGGCCCTTAGTAAATGCTTGTGTTTGGCTTGATTTTCCAATGAGGAAATTCCTTTAACAAATACACCATGTCCAGCTTGTTTCCAGAAGCTCTGATTAGTACAGTGACTTGCCCAGGATCACCCAGGTAGTATAGGTCAGAAGTAGAACTTGAACTCAGGTCTTTCTGACTCCAAAGCTGGTTCTTTGTCCATTATACCACACTGCCTCTCCAGTATTCCATATGTGTAACCTCCAAACTTAACTTAGTGAAAGTATAACTCAAAGAATATATCCCTAGGATCTTAGAACTAAGAGCTGGGAGGAACCTTAGACATCATCAGGTTCAACTTTTTTTATTGTACAGACAATGAAACTCATAAATGCTAGAAGGATAGCGTGGTACTTGTAAAATTTGGATCACCACACACAGTGGAGTAAATCTGTTTCAGAGGTTAATTTAAAAAAAAAAAAGTTATTCTCCCCATAATTGTTTCAGTGATTCATGTAAGGTTTGTTGTTGCAGATTTTTAAATTTTTGTGTTAGACTTTAGAAATATAAGCATATTTCACATAAGGTTATCCTAACATATTTTGCAGCAACAAACTTGATGCAGTATTCCTAAACCCCATGGGAAAGTCGTAGGATCCTGCTGCAATAATACTGAGTCAATGGTAAGGGGCAGCTAGCCGGCAGAGTCAGTAGATAGAGCACTGGGCTTGGAATCAGGAAGACTCCTCTTCCTCAGTTGAAATCTGGCCTCAGACACTTACTAGCTGTGTGACTCTGGGCAACTCACTTAACCCTGTTTGCCTCAGTTTCCTCATCTGTAAAATGAGCTGGAGAAGGAAATGGCAAACCACTCCAGCATCTTTGCCAAGAAATCCCAAATGGTGTCACAGTGTCATGACTGAACACCAAAATGGGAATGTGCGCACGGCTACACAGCTGGTAATTTCTGAGGCCTAATTCTAATCCGGGGTCTCCTGACTCTAGGTCCAGGACTACTATCCCACGCTGCACAATATCTGGTTTATTCACTCTTCCCTTCCATCTGTCACCCCCGTGATCCCTTCCCCCCATTCAGCACCTCCTTCCTGGAATGTTATAACAGCCTCCTAGCTAGCCTCTTTGCTTCCATCCCCTTTCACACATCTGTTGAAACGGTGTTCCCAATGCACGGGTCCGGCCATCTTACTCTTTAAAACAATACCATTTCATTAGCTCTCCACTGAGTTTATGATAAAATACAAGTTCTCTTAGCTTGGTATTTCGAGTGCCAGAGTCTACCTCCAGCTTCCTTCCTAGCCCTATTTTGCTCTTCTCTGTTGCACATGCTCTAGACTCGAGCCTGCTCTAATCCTTCCTCGTCCTGCATTTTTGTAATCCGCTCCTCAGTCAGTAGATGCAGTCCTTACGTATTTCTTTTCGTTCCGTTAAACCTCGTCTTTTCTGGCTCCTCCGACGCTCCGTAGGGTGTCGTCATCGCAGTGCGACCGCCGGAAATCCGTTTCCCGGACCCGGCCCGGCTCGGCGGCTTCCCGGGGAGGGGCAGAGAGGCTCCACTCTTGCCTCTGCCCCCGCAGCGCCGCGATGGACGATCCCGTTGAGTCGTCCCCGGAGAAGGCCGGAGAGGGCTCCGCGTCGGACGAGGTGCCCGTCGCTGCCACCGCCGCCACCCCTGAGCCGGTCCCGGGAGCGGCCCAGCTGCCCGACGCGGCTCCGGAGGACACAGACGGCGAGGAGAACGGGGACTCGAAGGAGGCTTCGGCCGAAGACGCCGAGCTCAAGGGCCAGGAAGCTTCGGATTTCACTGGGCCTGGACGGGAGGACTCGTTACTTGCTCCTGCAGCCAAGAAGCTGAAGATCGAAACGAAAGAGAGGAAAGAGAAAGAGCACAAAGTAGATGAAGACGAAATCCAGAAGATGCAGATCCTGGTTTCTTCCTTTTCTGAGGAGCAGCTGAACCGTTACGAAATGTACCGTCGGTCAGCCTTCCCCAAGGCCGCCATCAAACGGCTGATCCAGTCCATCACCGGCACCTCGGTGTCTCAGAATGTCGTCATCGCCATGTCGGGCATTTCCAAGGTCTTCGTCGGGGAAGTGGTCGAAGAAGCTTTGGATGTGTGTGAGAAGTGGGGAGAGCTGCCCCCCCTGCAGCCCAAGCACATGCGGGAGGCCGTGAGAAGGCTGAAGTCGAGGGGGCAGATTCCCAACTCAAAGCACAAAAAAATCATCTTTCACTAGGTCCGGGGAACTTTCTAAGCTGTACTATCGAAAACGGAAGAAATGACTTCCATATTTCCTCCCTCGGAGGCGTTGGCTACTGTTGCCCAGCTGTCCCACCCCCCTCGGTGATGGAACCTCTGCCCCCAAATCTTGGAGATCAAAGTTACCCGGTAGAGAAGCAGCAGGCGCATCCAGATTTGCCTTCCATCCATGTAGGACCATTTAGTTCAGGTTATGATTGATAACTCTTACTTTGCTAACTGAAAAGGGGACATGTCCTTATTTATAGACTCCTTGTACAGATCGTCAGAGTACTGTTTTCAAATGGGTGAAATTCTTCTGAGGAGCAGTCTTCTTGATTAATCTCAACAGTACCTTATTTTGCAAGTTTCACATTGGGACCCTAAACTGCTACTGTCAGGGCCTCCTGTCTGGTTTGAAGTTGCTAACATGCCAGAAATTTGTAACTTGTTAAATTTGACGGTTTAGTTTACTATGTTAGCAAATGCTGAAATGATAGAATAGTTTTATTCCCTTGTAAAAACTGAACATCATCATGTGGTTTTTGGTGTCTGATCATTAAACTGTTTTTTATTTAACTTGGCAAATAAATCGTCTTCTTCTCCCAGAGTCCAGCTCAGGTGCCACCTGTTCCAGATACCTAATCTTCCAGCAGAAATGGGCCTTTCCTATGTGTTTCTTTGGTGCTTTGTTTAGACGCTTCCTCTCCTTTTATCTACATTGTGTCATAATAATATTTATGTATTTTTTTAAAACCAGCCCTCTTAGTCTGTGAGATCCTTGAGGGCATGGGCTTATTTATTGTTTTCCCACTCTAGTTTTTAGTATGGTGCCTTATACATGGTAGACAATTATGTTTGTTGTTGATTTTGTCATTAGGAGAAGCTGAAAGTAGGGCTCCTCAGTTTGTTCAATTCAGCCAGCATTTATTATGTAGCTTCTTTATGCCCAACACTGCTGTACTAAGCACTATAAATAAAAGAAAATATAGCTCATGCATTCAAGGAACTTGTCCTATTAGACAATGCATGATGAAATAGCTAAGATTATATTTGACTTCTTGCTCCCACATTCTGTCACGAAATCCTATCAGTTCTACCACTGAAATATTTGTCATCATCACCTCTTTTCCCATTCCCATTGCTGTGCCCATTTTAGGTCTGAATGACTAGAATGTTCAAGTAGCCAGTATTTTCTTCCCTCTCTTTTTTATCCAACATGCTGCTGTATCTTCATAATGCAATATTTGATCATTTCACTCCCCCTGCCCTGCTAATAGTGGGTGTCTCCTAACACTTTGTTCAGGGCCCACCAGTGACTTGGTGATTTCATCAGCTCCCATGGATTCAATTATTTCTATGCAGATGATTCTCAGATCTGTCCAATGCTAACCTTTCTGTTGAGGGATAGCTACATGGCACAGTGGATGGAGTGCTGGGCCTGGAGTCAGGAAGACCTGAGTTCAAATATGGCCTCAGATACTAGCTTTGTGATATTGGGTAAGTCACTCAACCCTGTTTGCCTCAGTTTCCTCATCTGTAAAATGAGCTGGGGAAGGAAATGGCAAGCTATTCCAATATCTTTGCCAAACAACCAAACAAAACCCAAAAAGGGGTCACAGAGAATCAGAAATGACTGAAAAATAACTAAGCAACAATCTCTCTGCGGACCTCCAGTCTTTTTTTTCCAGCTGCCATTTGGGCATCTCCAACTGGATGTCACTTATAATTTTAAACTCAGCATGTCCAAAACTGAACTCATTTATCTTTTTCACCAAACCCTCCCCTTTCTCTACCTTCCCTTTGACTATTAAAGGTTCTACTTTCCTCCCAGCCATCCAGATTAGCAGCTTAAGTGTATCCTCAACATCTCACTCTCATTCCCATATCCAATCAGTTGCCAGGTCCTGTTTCTACTATTTTAACTTATTTTATATATGACCCCTTATCTCCTCTGACATTACTCCCATAATAGCTATCATCCCTGGTGATAAGGCCTTCATTACTGCACTCCTGGATCAAATTTTTAAAATCCTGTTTTTTGTTGAAAGCCTTCATAATCTTGGCCCCTTCTACCTTTCCTTTCTTCTTACACTTTATTCCCTGCCCCACACTCTTTGATTCAGTGACATAGACCTCCTTGCTGCCCCATGAATAAGATGCTCTATTACTTATCTTCAGGCATTTTCTCTGGTCCTGTCTCATGCCTGGAATACTCTTCCTCTTCATCTCTGCTTCCTGCCTTCCTTTAAGTCTTACCTAAAATCCCATCTTTTACAAGTAGCCTTTCCTAATCCCTCAGTTCTAGAGCCTTCCTTCTCTTAATTGTTTCTTATTTATCCTATATATAACTTATTTGTGCATATTTGTTTGCCTGCTTGTCCCACATTAGATTGTGTGCTCCTTGAGGGCAGGGACTATCTTTTGCCTGTTTTTGTATTTAATACATTTAGCACACCACCTACATTTAGCATAGTGCCTGGCACTTAGGTGCTTAATACATGTTTATTGACTGACAAATATATGTATATGGTATGTGTCAGAGAACAAGATTATTGAAAGTGCTGTACAACTTTCTACATGTGGTCCAGCCTACTCTGACGATTCAGTTCTGGGCCTTGTACATCTCTTCTGCCAGTCTCCAGGTGCATGTACTAATTAACTGTTAATGGACTGTCCATTCAGCTGCATGAGATACATTATCTGGAAAACAGACATTTTACATTCATTTTCTCCAATGTGTATTATTGGGCCTGCTTCTTTCGAATGGTTAAGAATTCATTGAGGAGATCCTATAGCACATTTCTTAGAAGATGTTAAAAATCCCATGGACACTGTTCGATGAGTCTGTTCCATGCATGTGACCTGAGATTTCTGAGGCTTTTCTCAAGGCATGCTTTGTTTTAAATCCTACCCCTCCTTCAAAACCCCATTCAAAAATTATGTCCCATAATGCTTCCCCAAATTTCCTCAAATGAAAGTAACCTCTTTTTTGAATTTCCATAGCCCCTAATCTGTAACCTTGTAATATTTTACTTTACATGACTTCTCTTTCTTACTTGATAATATGCTGCTAGTACATAGCCTTTCACATACTCGACAAATAATTGTTGCCATGTTTCTCAGGTATAGAGATTGTAAATTACAAACATTCCAAAATCTGTTTAAATTTAATATAAAAAAGAATATTAGTAAAATGGTTAAAATTCAGATGCTGTCACTAGTTACCTCAAAGCAAATTGGCATGGGTATCAGGGAGACTGAGGAGAGTGGGTATCCATAAGAATCGGTTGTTACATGTTATTCTTAAAATTGACTGCTAGCTTGTCTATTTCTGAAGGCAACCATTGAAAGGTTTGAAAATCTATGTTGGGTAATTCGTTCTTTTGTGAATAAACTTTTCCTCTTCAGTGTATTCACTCAGTCACCTACCCAGTCAACTATTCTGACTTAATTTTGATGTAGCTGTAGCAGATGACTACAATTTTTTGACATCATCTATAAGGGAACAACACTAAGCTAGAGGAATAGTAGAGTCATATGGTAGAAAAAAAATTATATTCTAAGAGGGAGTTGGTATTATTTTTTGATTTTTCCTTATTGATAGTACAAGGTATCCCAGAAATCTTAGTGCATTTTTGAAGTTTTAATAGCTTTGGAGACACCCTGTCTTTGGAGTCAGAAGTAGTGACTTCTAATCTTGACTCTGCTACTGACAATCTATGTGACCTTGGCAAAGGTAGTTAACTTTCTCAGTTTTTGAGCCTGTATTCTAATGTGTGAAATTTGGAGGTCGGACCAGATAAAATGTAAGGCCTTTTTCATCTCTAAACCCTCTAATCCTAATTCTATTTTGTTTTGAAGGCCTATGATTGCTTTTTTTGTTCTTTACTAAATGCTTTCCCTGCCTCATATTTGCTCTCCATATAGTTGATGAACTACAGAAACGAGTACACCAGTCAGAAAATTCAGCGCCACCCCCACCACCTCCTCCTCCACCTCTTCCCCCTCCACCTCCTAATCCAATCCGGTAAGTAGATCTGTAAAGATTGTTATACTTTTGAAACTAAATATACCAAAGCACTTGGATTTCCTTATGGTAGCATCATTTTTCAGGACTGGTTTATAGCTAGGTTGGGTTCCCACAGGTCCATCCCAGCTATTGAGGAGGCTGAGGCTGGCTGATCTCTTGTGCTCAGGAGTTCTGACCTATGATGGGGCTCTTCAGTTAGGTGTCCACACTAAGTTTGTCATTAATATGGTGAGGTAGGGAGGTCCGGATCACCTGTAAAGAGGGCCAAACTAGCTCAGGTCCAAAACAGGTCAAAGCACCTATGCCAATCAGTGGGCTCAGAACTGTTAGTAGTCCCTGCACTTCCAGCCTAGCTGAGGAAAGAATAAATAGAAAGGCTTATATACCTTGGTTAGAGTGTTAGGAAAGTACAAAAATACATGATGACGAGTCATAGTGCTCTGAAAACTTTTTTGAAGGTAGTGTATTACTTGAGAACTCTTTCTTGCGGTATGGAGAATACCTAACTGGCCCGCAGGTTCATTGAGTACAGAAGGATGAGGCATTATTTTGACACACATCTTTCTTATGTTTTAAAATTCCAAATTCCTCTTAGACTTGAGAAACTAGGGGGATTGGTTTATTTTTCCTCCCCAGTTTTGTTTTCTGCTTTTAGGAATTTCAGTTAAGGCATTATGATTTTGCACATCAGGTAAGGCTGAGCAGATAAGAGCATTTTGAGATTGTGTGCACTATTTTTTTTTCCTCTTTGAGCTGTCTAAAAGGTTTTTCACTTGTCCTAAGTTTTCCTTTTAAAAAAAAAAAGGCTTGAGAATTAACCGTAAAATAGAAAGCAATTCTGAGAACATTCTAGATGTAAAGACTTCTATTTTATTACGTAACCACACATTTGACTTCTTAACTGTTTTTGCGTCATAGATAATAATTATTTTTTTTTTAAAAATTGAAAGCAAGCCTTGCAGTACTTTTTTGGGATCATGGATTTGAAACCAGAAAGGACCTTAGAGATTGTTTAGCCCAACTCTCCCTTTTACAGCTGAGGAAACTAAGGCTCAGATAAATGATGTGACTTATTCAAGGTCACACAAATGTAAGTAGCAGAGCAAGGTCTCTGCCTCTAAACCCAGCATCCTTTCCACTGTAGTTCTCTCTATGTCTAGTCAGAGAGGCATATCACATTTTTCTGTGTTCAGAAACTCTAGTAGTAATAACGAAGCAATATCAGCTATATTTGTCTTTGATCTCCAGTCAAAAGACTTATGCTCATACGGAGAAGCTAAACATTTATTAGTTGTTTAAGATATAGAAATTATAAAAATCTCAGAGTTATGAAAAATATCACTGTGAAGAGGGATTTAGGGGCTTCTCCTGGTCCTTTTCTTTTTCTTGAAAGGTCTCTCATGTCCATGATACGAAAGAGATCCCACCCGAGCAGCAGTGGAGCCAAGAAAGAAAAAGCAGTTCAGCCAGAAACTGGTAAGTGTCACCTTTGTTCACTTTATTCAGTTACATGACATTAGTCAATTTTACACAAATACTGCCCAATATGAAATCTCTCTGGCTCTGAAATGTTGATAATAGGGTTTATGAATAGAGATTTGATGTAGTTTCTTCACAGGAGTTTTGATAGTAACCCTGAACAATTAGTCCTTCAGGTACTGGTGAGGGGATCAGAAGGAGACTTGGGAACTGGGGCCTTCCCACTTTTTGTGGTCATTCCTGGAAATAGTAATGGCCTTAGAATGGCAGGGAGGCAGAATACTGGTCTGAGGATTATTGGATTCAGAGACAGCTCTGCCTTGGCAGTTTCTCATTGTTAACCAGCTTCCTTGATTATTCATTGTTAGCTGCCCCCCAACTATGCAATTTGAACTTGTCTCCGGTTTAATCTTGCTTTAGGATGATTATGTTTGTTTTTAAGTTTCAGTGGGGTCACTCAGAATAAAATGTATTCCTCCTGAAGCAGACTGTATCTTGAATATATTGTCTTCAACTGTACCCTTTAATAACACTAAAACATCTAGTATTCTAAATCCTCTCAATCTCTAAAAATAAAATTTTTTTTACAGTTCGCTGAAATGCAGCAATGCTTTCTTCCCAACTACTGTTGCCATTAGATTGTTGCTTTGTGAAACTAAGTAGAAGTATATATATGGAGTATAATTCTTTGATAGCTTCTGAAAATGATTTTGACACAGAGCACTGATGGGGCATTTTGATCTGTCCATGGTATTCTGAAAGGTACCTGAGAATAACTTTAAAATCATACTGATAGAAAGGATACATGGTACCTTACCAACACATGCAGATTAAACAGCATTCTCTGTGCCCTGATGGTGACTGTTTTTTTTTTTATAGAACCTTACACATAGTAGTTAGCACCATAAATATATGGAGTACATGAATGGGAGAATTTCCAGATTTCAACTGTGGAACTTCCTATTGTGTTCATAACTGGAGATTGAAATGTCTAGTCTAGGGTTCAATCTCAGCATAACTTGCATACTTAGAATTGCATGAGATACAACTGACCATTTGTACTGTGACTTCTTGAGTATAGGAGCCCATGGAAACTGGTTTCATATTGTTGTTTGGTGAAGTAACTTATGGGTCATGCAGAGAAAGGATTTTAAATCCAGTACATTTTGCTATGCACTGTACTGCCTCTAATTTTTCCAAAGAGTGGCACAGAATGATTTATGAATACAATAAATGACTGAATGAATAAGAAAAGATTCCCCATCCTCCCACCAATTACTAGATTTAGGGAATCCAATGAAATTCAGAAACTCATTCCCATCACCTCTAAGTAATAACAAAAGGTTATAGAGAAGCAAAAAAAAAAAGTTCTGATCACCTCTAGGTAATAACAGAAGGTTATAGAGGGTGGTTTTTTTTTTCTTATGAAGCTACTTATTTTTCAAGTAGGTCTTAAAAACTGAAGCTTCAATTAATTACATTGGGTTATTGAGTCAAGACTAACCTCACAGCATTATTTCCTAGGAAAATTTGATTATTTGGTGGGTAGTTCAATAATATTAGAATTGTCTTCATTTGTCATTTTTCTTTAATCTCCAGCATCCTGGATATTTCTTTTGTCCCTCTGATTACATGGTTTTGTGAGACAATTACCCACTTTATCATTACAGAAAGAATTACAGAATATTCCATGAGTTCTCTGTAGACTATTCTTCCGTATTTTATAAGCCACTTAATCACTTTGAAATTCATATAGATTGTTTTTGGCTAGTTCAACAGTGAACACAAATGAGGGTGAGAGAAAGAAAAAAATATGTTGTGTGTTTGTAGATAGATAACTTTAAACTTGTATTATATTTGTGTGGGTAATCTGGTATCTTTTTTTCCTTTCAGCCAGTTAGGCTTTTCTATTTGAAAAAAAAAAAAACCTGAGAAATTAAATTCTGGTTTAAAATCTCTATAGGATACAGATAGTTATGCATCTCTGAATCATCGATATTATCCTAACCAACAAGTGTAAGAGACTGTTTAAAATTCCTATTATGTTAGATGTTTTAGATGAATGAAATAGCTTTGACCATAATGTTCCATCTGTCTGCCTTAATTGGCTTTTGTCTTGTGTGATTAATTGGGCTTTAGTCATGTCTTCCAGAGTGCTGATGGGTTAGTAGGAAGTGTTTTACCATCAGTTGCCATGCAGTTTTTCCATTCTAATTCAGAATGATATCTTTTTTTTTAATTTAGCATTTTTGAGAAGCCACTTTTTAACTTTTCAATGAGTCATTTGTCCATAAAGGTACCAAAATGGCAGACCTGAGGTTTTTGGCATCCAATTTAATGCAGTTTCAGCAGAAGATATTAATTCTACCCATAATGATTCATTGGTATATCTCAGTGTCTTGACATCTTACGTCTGTGAACTAACTATACATTAAGGTGTCAGGAAAGTTCCAAGTTATAAGTAACCCTCCAGCCTTAGTATATACTTAGGTGACTACTGACCCACCATGGCTGGAATATATACATTGTCTTACTTTGTGAACAACAATATCTATTTATGAGATGATTAGCTGGAGTTAAGAGTTCCCTGAGACAGTAACAACATAAAAAGGCAAACCGCCCATTCTGAAGATAGAATCTGTTGATGTTGGCCTTGTTAGTACTGTGCTGTATCAGGGCCAACTGGCTTAGGCGTATGTATTCTTGTCGCAATTCAAAAACCGAGACTTTCAGATGTCTAAGGCATACCCAAATAAGCAAAATATTAAGGACCATTCAAAATCAGCTAATAACAAATACTTTGAAAGAATCCAGATTTGCTCATCCTATTTATTTGGAGTCAGAGGCAGTAATCTTCTTGCATTTGGACAGTCTGCAAATGATCTGCCTTTGTATAGGGCCTAGTAATTAATGTAAGCATAGCTTGACCTGTAAGTAGATTAAGACAAAGTACCAAATTTCAGCTTTGTAACAAATGGCCTTGAACTGGTAACTCATCTCAGGTACATTCACTGAATCTAGATAAATCTCAATTGATTTAATAATATTTTTATACCACAAAGGTTAGCCTACAGTATAGATGAACTTTCTTTTAAAATTTAATTACTTAATTGAAATCATTCCTAGTTTTATGTTTTTGTCCAATAGGAAATTTAAAATGCCCTCAACAGGCTTATGTGAATGTTTTATATTCATGTGATTCATTAGTAAAAGGTGGACATGGGGGGAGGGGAATAGATTTTACTTATTATTTGTTTGCTTTTGTCTGGATTTCCTCCAATGAGGAAAATATCTCTGATGTTTTTTCAGTCAAACCTTTGATACTTTCTCCTCCTTTGCACTAATTTCTTGGAGGGATGATATGTGACGTCTGCCAATAAGGTATAAAATCCCCTTCAAGGAAAAAAGGCATGATTATTTAGGATTAAGTGCAAAGTTGGGTTTAATAAGACCTGGAGAAATTCCAGAAATGAACCAAGTATTCAATAAAGTCTGTAATTATGCTGACAAATAGGGCAAAATTCATTTTAATTGTTTGATGTGGGGGAGTCATTATTGACTTAAATGCCTTAATTAAAATAAAAAACACAACAACAAAAGCCTTCCCATTTTTATGACTCAGCTCTGTTACAGAAACTTTGCTACCTGACTGCTGTTCACCTGAATAGCGTCATGGTGTTCAGTGACTCTTGGCATCTGAATAGTGACTGTGTGGTGTGGCACATTGCAATCTTTCTAAATCACAAATTGCAGAAAAGTAGCAATGGATTGAGAAGATAGTTCTCATTTCACAGCAGAAAATATTTCTTACAATTTTCCTGGGCTTTCTTCATTTGAAACTCAATGAAATGTGTTTTCTTTGAACAGCAGAAGAAGTCACAGACCTCAAGAGACAAGCAGTTGAAGAAATGATGGATAGGATTAAGAAGGGAGTTCATCTTAGACCAGTTAATCAGGCAACCAGACCAAAGGCCAAGGTATAGAGCAGCTAAATCCTCTTTCTTTTTTTCCTGTTTTGGTGCTTACTTTAGAAGTGAAAAAGGGAATATAGAGCAGTACCTTTGCAGAAGTGTCGAGGAACAGGACTGATGTAGATATTATAAGATAGTTGCATTATGTCAAGGTATACTTTTGTGCAGTTTTACTTTGGGGGTGGGCGGAACATGTTTTTGTTCCGTAGCAAACCCAAATCCATCCAGCATTCATGATATTCCAGTTATTTTTTTTTTTCCTTTTTAAAGCATAAGGACGTTAAAATTAGTTACCCCACAAACGAAAGACAAGATATGAGGTGGTCATCCCCATGATGTTTTCTGTTCCTTGCTTATTTGATTAAGATTCATTTAGGAAGTTTATCATGCCAGAAGAACAGAGATGGTTTTGTAAAACACTGAAAAGATCCAGAGTTGCTACTTTTAAAAAATTAAGTCATCAAATCTCTTCTAAGACAGAGGTGAAGAAAATATAGTTGAAGATTTTGTTAAATTATTTGGTCCAGAAGGCTCCCCACCTAAATGAATGAACTCTCAACTTTGAGATTCTATGGTACAGTGATTAACACCATACTCTTCTATTTGCTTTGTATTCCTGTCTCATTGAAATGATGCTGACTCTGGAATTTTTTAAATCACTTTGCAGGATCGTTTCGTCCTTTTAATTAGACATCTGTGGACACTTTTCTCTCTACCTCCCCCAATTTAAAAGCTTTTTCTTACCCTCAGGAGTACCTCTCTTTCCATGTAGATCTGTGCCTTTTAGGGTTAGCTGGGGTTCTGTTAGTATCAGATGTTTCTGTACCTACATTCAAACTATGTTTTACCATAAATAGGAAGCAAATTTGGCTAGGTTGATACCAGAGTGGCCACTGTGTGTAGGTCACCTCAAGAGAATAAGTAGGAGGGGGCAGCTAGTTGGCACAGTGGATAGAGCTCTGGCCTTGGAGTCAGGAGGACCTGAGTTCAAATCCAGCCTCAGACACTTGACACTTACTAGCAGTGTGACCCTGGGCAAGTCACTTAACCCCAGTTGCTTCACCAAAAAGCAAAATGGAGGGAGGGAGAGAGAAAGAGAGAGAGATTGAGGGAGAGAGAGAGAGAGAGAGAGAGAATAAGTAGGGAGAGGGAGAGCAATCTTCTATATTTTCAGCTTGGACTGATCAGAAAGTAACTTATCAAATAGAAAGTAACTGATTTCCACATAAGGACGTTCATTCCTCCTCTGATAACCCAAAAAAGCCAAAACAACTTCTTAACCAAGATATAGATTTTACAGCTGGTGAGATGACTTAGCCTTTAGACTAAAGCCCTCTGGCACAAGTAATTTCTATTGTTTTGGGCTCTTAGCTCGTGTCTGGTGATATAACAGCCAAAAAAAAGTACTTAACTAGGAATCAGGAGATCTAGGTTCTAGTCCTGCATCTGTCGCCCAGATTCAAATCTTACCTTTAATACAAACTTCCTGCATGATCCTGGGTGAGTCACTTAAAGTGCTTGGGCCTCAGTTTCCTCATCAAATGCAGGAGTCAAACTAGCTGGCTTCTGAGGGCCCATATTGTCCTAGACACCTGATTCTAATAGATACTAATTATGAATACTAGTCATGTTAACCTGAAAATTACACCACATTTTGTTTCTCAACTTATAAATAAAGTAGAAATAATACAGTCTGCGTACCTCACTGGGAGGGTTGTAGTAATAGTGATCAGAATTCAGTGAAAGCATCATAAAAATGAAAGGACATTTTTTAAAAGAATATTTTTCATAATTTAATAAACACAGCTACTCTGGAATAGATAAGCAAACCTCAACTATTGCAAAGCAAAAGTAATATGGTGACCCAAATAAATCTTAAATTATGTTGTCTAGGAAGAAATGTTTTTGTTTTTGTTTTTGTTTTTGTTTTTTTTGAAGTTAAGCTTATCGATATTTAGTTACGTTCCTCCCACCCCACTTTTGGTATGTCATCTTTCTTTTTTTTTCTTCTTCACTTGACTCTTTCAGCAGTTACACATTATTTAAAGTCAGTTCAATATCTGGAAAGAAACTGAACAACGATCAGTGGACTACTGGTTTTTTCGCTGGTAATAATTAACCTGTGTAGATTTAGTTTTGACTTAACTGGTCCATAATCTTTATTTCTTAATAACGTTCACGCTTGATGCATGCTAAAGTCCAGGCCCCTTTCTGCATTACCATCCCTGCTTTCCTGCAGTGCTAGAAGTGAAGAGAGTATATATTCCCAGCTGCCTTCCAGTTGGCTGGCTTGGGCAGTGAGTTCAAGAGCACCAGCTTTCTGGCTGAACAATTCGCATTCATAGACCTGCCTGGCGGCCACATTTTCTAAAATGAACTTGTGGGTGCTATGACTAAGCTAGTGTCTCCAAAGCTTTTGATTGGCACTGATGGCATGTGGCATCTTTAAGGAAAACTGTTGGCAGTGAAATTTTACTTCCTTTGCTCAGTTTGCATATAAACAACAACCTTCTCCCATTCTCTCTCTTCTCTCCCTCCCTCCTTCCCTCTCTTCCTCTGTCTGACTGTCTCTCTCCACTTTTTTTTTTTTCCACTGAGGAGGGTGGCTTTGAGGCCTCCTGTGTCCTTCAAGTAGAGGAACTTGCAAATTACTCTTAAAACCCACCATTTCTTGATTGGAGAGAAGTGTTTTTCATTTTTCCATGTCCAGAGGAAAGTGGTATAGTGGATAGAGTACTAGACCTGGAATTAGGAAGACCTGAGTTCTCAGCCTCAGCTCCTTCCTGGCTATCTATCCTTGGGCAAAGTAACTTAATTGTTATCTTCCTCAGTTTCCTCACCTATGAACTGGTGACAATAATAGCACCGACCTTCCACAGTGTATTTGTAAATTATTTTGCAGAGCTTAAAGTGCTATATAAATGATAGCTGTTATTACTATTAATATAATCATAATTACTATATTGGTTTTTCTTGATCACTACCTTCCTGTGAGAGGAAACAATAGGAAAGTTAGAGATCTTACACACTACCATCTTTTATGTGAAGGCCTCCCCATCAAAATTGACCATCATCAAGTGGGATGAATTGAGCATTAACAGGGATTTTGCTGAAGGTCCAAAGCTTCGTTAGAGTTTCAGATCCAGTCATCTTCACATTTCTCTCTTCCTTCATTCTAGTAAAGTGGAAAGAGCAGTACTGGGAGTTCTAGATTTTGGTCCCCACTCTGCGACTTTCTAGCTACATGACCTTGAACAACTATTCAAGGTTTCAGTTTTCATTTTGTAAAATCTAGAGGGAAAGAGGTTCCAGGTTTCCAAGGTTCCTTCCAGTGCTGCCCATTCTATGTTTCTCAATCTCTCTGCCCACTGTCCCTTCCCCATGAGACGAAGGGGCAGCAGTCACTGACAATCTGTGATTAAAAATAGTATTCAAGGGGAAGCTAGGTGGTGCAGTGGATAGAGCACCAGGCCAGGAGTCAGGAGGACCTGAGTTCAAATCCAGCCTCAGGCACTTGACACTTACTAGCTGTGTGACCCTGGGCAAGTCACTTAACCCCATTGCCTAGCCAAAAAAAAAAAAATAATAAAGTGTTCAGCTAGACCCAAAAGTAGTAGAGAGAATGGCATTGTGTCCTCTCGCTTGCTTCTTGTTCAATATGGCTCCTTCCCGTTCTTCTTGACAGGAAATATTAAGTAGCTAAAATGAGAAGGTGTTCCAAGGACAGTTCTGAGAAGACCTAAAAGAAATGTTTGAAGCTTATTATTTAATACATCCCTTTTGGCTGTGATGTTAATCAAATTAAATACAAAAACCAAATTATATGTACTTAAGTCCATTATCTTGTATTTGAAAGGCAGTGTAGTGTAGTAGACAGAGAAGAGCAGCTTTGGAATCAAGAAAACATAGGTTCCAGTCCCACCTCTGATAGAAACTGCTGCGTCACAAGGTCAAGTCAAAGTCAAGGCTCTCAGTGCTTCGGGCAAATATCCAAGTTAGAGGAGGTGGTGGTCTTTGACTTGGGTGGGGGCAGTTCACACTGCTTTGAACATAGCTGTTTTTTAGTTTTCCATTTAACTGTTCCATGGAAACACTAACATTTCTAATTTTATTTTTTTCTTGATCTAAAAAATGGGCCTAACAAAATGATGTAATTCATGTGTTTTGCCAGTATAACCCATAGCACCTTTTGACAAATGGATATTTCTGTGGCTTAATAGTTTTAAATTCAGAATAATACACCTGCTGTTTCTGTCTCCTCCCCACCCCTTTCCCCTTTTAATTATAGCCAGAATCTTCAAAAGGCTCTGAAAGTGCAGTGAATGAACTAAAAGGAATACTGGTAAGAACAAACCTTAGCTTATCTTCAATCATTCTCATTTAGTGAGGGATTAGAGGAAAGTGTTTTTATAAATCTGATTTTTTTTTTCTGAACAATTACATTTGATGTATGTTGAGACCTTTTATGAGGCCTTGTTTCTTTCTCTGATTATTTGCTTTGTGCCATATTTATTTTCCTTTTCTCTTTCACAGGTGTTAATAACATATCAAATAACACATTTATAGTTTCCATTCAAGAGTTAGCCCTAATCAGTTTTTTATACTTGTTACACTAAATTAGCAAGATGATTGTTTCCTATTCTTCCTCTTCTAATCCTAGAATTTCAATTTGAAGATAAAATGTTGACCCATATGTTAGAATCGTCATGCTTGTTAATTAACAGAAATACGCTAGGGCTTTGTAGAGAGATGGTAGTTTGCTTAGTGTATGAGAAGAAAATTCTGACATTCAGGTGGAAATTTGAGAATACCCCAAATCTGTTGGAAATAGGGTAACTCCTGAGAAATAGAGCAATTGTCACCCATTCTTATTTGTATTCTTTCTTTTTAACCTTTGATGATAAGTTATATTTTAAAAAAAGATTCATTTGTAAACAATTGAATTTATCCTCTAAAGGAAATTCAAAGATTTTATATTTTTAAGTTACTCAATGTCCTTATCTTTAGCCATTGTTCTCCATTCTATAGTTCAGGCATGTGTGTGAGCCATCACTGAATTTATAAATGACTGTTGCACTAGCCTGAACAATCATTGAGTTTTCAGTGGCAAACTCATTGCTTGGAAAATGGTTAGGATACGAAGGATTCTATTCTCAATACCAGTTATTATGCACAGTACGTCAACAAACATGGGGGCGGGAGGTGCAGGACTAAATACTCCTGTGTTTGTTGTTACTGTGCTAATTATGCATTTCATGCAGACATCCACATAATTGTCGTAAACAAAATTATTTTCATTAAGTCTGTCTTTAAATTGTAGACTTAACGCAAAGCAGCTCAATTATTTGCTTTAGTTTTAGGTGAGTAGGATTAGCTCTGAAGTGATGCATATCCCTGGTTAACAGTGGTGGTTTGTTCAACCTACAGAATAGCATATTTAAACTGTTGTAGAATAAATGTAGTTATCTAACAGGACTATTATGCAGAAAACTCTCTATTCAGTGTTCTACTAACTAGAACTTTCTGTAAGCCAGGACTCCTACATGTTCTGGTATGACATAATGGAAAGAATGCTGGAGCTTGGAGTCTGAAGACTTAGGTTCAGATCCTTTCTCTAGCACTTGACCATTGTATGATCTTATGCAAGTTAGACTACATTTCATCTCCTCTGACCTTCAGTTTTCTCTTCTATAAAATGGGGTTAATGGCAGCTCTTACTTATCTCACAAGGTTGTTGTGGGAAAGCATCTTTGAAACCTTATAGCCCTATAGGAGTATGTTATCATTATTGTCTATTGTGTAGCAATAATTGATACTAATGATAAGTGTCAGACAATATAAGATCCTAATTATCTGAATCTGAATTATCAAAGATTAATGAAAGTATATTTAGTGTAGTTTTTAAAGTATTATTGTATTTTCATTTAAATAAAAAACCTCAATCATACCTATTAGGGATATATGTCAACTCTAACAACTTGAATCTCTAATACCCATTTCCCAATAATGCTGGAAAACAGAGTTAACTTCCTATCAGTGGTGTTATGCTTAAGGCCTTTCCTCAGAAGTATGTACCTTTTTGAGGTAGGAATGTATGTGGAATAAATTTTATGTCCTCTAACATCCAATTTTGTGGATGTTAGATCCTTTGGATATTACGTCCTACATTAGGATGTAGAGCAGGCAGACTGCTCCAACAAAAATATTCTCTTATGACCAGCTACCATTCTCTTCCACCTTCCAACATCTAGGCTGAAGATTTTTTTTTTATCTTCAGAAGGTGAATCACTTTATTAGTTTAAAGAACCCCTTCCCAGAATACTTACTGTGTACATTCAGGCCAGCATTGTCACTAGGAAATGCTACATTCACCAAGTTTTATACTCTTTGCTCCTATTTGTTATCAGGCCCATGTTCCATTATTATTAAATGACTGCTGTCATAAAATCTGACTAGAAACTATTTTTTTTCCCCACTCCCAACCTCATTAATGCTAATGGGGTTTGCAATCACACATTTTATGTAGTTATGTTCTTTCAGTTCTTTAAAGTTCCTTTGAAGAAGAAAAAGTGTACAGAAGACATGGAATTTCCTTGAAAGGGGAAGCAGTAAATATTGAAGCCCAATAGTGTTTTATCCTTTTGGGCCAAAATGGTCATAAACATCCGTGAACAATGTAGGGCAAAAGGGAAAGCTATAGTTCTGCTCATCAGATGGTGCTATAGAGATCTAGGTCTTGAAATGCAGTGAGTCCTTGGCTGTGAAAAACATGGTAGCATTCAGGCCTGCTGCTCATAGTCAGGTCATGGATTATTGGCAGGTGCATAGTTGAAAGAATTTGAGGAACCTAGCTCTATTCTAAATAGGACAGAGAGCAAATTATTTTTTAAAGCTTCTGTATGAACTTAGACCATTTTCCTAAGCTCATTTCCACATAATTTTTAAAGTTACCTTTACTGTCACTGAATTTATTTGTCATTGAATTGTAAGAATTTTGAAAACCAAGAAACATTTTTTTTTTAGTCATTTGAAAGCCACTTTACACTGTCAGATGTTAAGGGGTTTTTCAGTTAAAGAAATGACATTTTCAGAGGGTAAATTTATGATCTGTAGGATGAAAGGATTGGCCCTACTGGCCCTATGAGTCTGCAATTTCAAGTCAAGTCAACAAATATTTATTAATATTATTAATTGCCTCATATTACAAATGAGTAACAGATAAAAAACTTGATGTTTTTTAATTGCTTCCCAAGTACAAATGTGAGTTATATAATGACATCTCTTTTCATTTAGTATTGTTATTTTTTAGTGTTCTTAGTTAAACCAAATGTATTGACATTTTGATGAAGGAAGAGATCTTGGCTTTGAGAAATCTGGAGTCTACTAGGAAATAAAATTCTCAAGCCTTGAATTTTGTGGGGGTAACTCAGATATTAAAAAAGAATGAATGTGGGAGAATGTTTCTGTGATCCAGACAAAAATCAGTGACTTGGATGGTCAGAGATAGCATTCTTATCAGATTTGTAAATGACATAAAGGTTTGTTTGCATGCGTGTGTGCGTGCGTGCATGCATGTGTGTGTGTGTGTGTGTATGAGAGAGAGAGAAAGAGAGAGAGAGAGCGCACGAGCATTTATTAATCACTTAATATGTTCTAGGTCCATAGTGCTAGGTGCTGGGGATACAAGTACAAACAAGCAAAACAATCTCTGTCCTTGAGGAGTTCTCATTCTATTTGAGGAAGATGACAAGTACACGGAAACTGGGAGTGGAGATGGGGAGCAGGAGACAAGTCTACGAGCAAGGACATTAGGGTTAGGTATACAGCATTGTATATGCAGTAAAGTGAATTGTCTTTTCTGTGAAACTGCCTGTCATAATCAGCACATGGTAATTATTTCGACCTACACAAAATAGTGTATATGATACTCTTCTAAATGTGCCCTCTGGATTTTTTGGTAGTAAGTATAGACTTAATATCTATAAATGTATTTCCTGAAACAAGATTCTTTTAAAAATTAGAAAGTGGCTGCTGCTTAAGTATCTCCAAAGTCAGCATCTGCAGATCATGCATCTAAAAAGAACGTGACTCTTCTTTAATTAGCTTGGTTTGGGTTTGCCAGTGGGTTGGCATTCTGATCCCTTTAATCAATGAAAAAATTTCCAACCAGAATGGCAAAATAGCTGCACAGTTTGAAATTTCTTACCATTTATTTTATAAGCAATTTTGTGTTTGATAAGATTTTTTTTAAATGGGGGCGTTGAATAGCTTGTGCTTAATTCAAGGTTGAAAAGGCTAGACTTATGTCATGATCGACCAGTGATGATAGTAACTTCATTCGAACTTTAGCACTAGAAATTTCAAGTGATGAAGAATTACCATTTGGGTAAATAAATGATGCAAAATTTAGTATTCACTATAATCAAGTCAGCATTGTGCTTTTAGAAGTCTTACCTGTAACAAAGGTGAGGAAAACTACTTGTAGAAAACAGTAGGCATGACATGAAAAATAAAATGGGTTGGTGGGTTCGATTTTTGTCATCTTGGGATACATTCTTACATATAAATGTAAGGAAAAACAGTAGGAGGTGTGTGTGTGTGTGTGTGTGTAGTTGTGTGGTTGTGTATTTAATGGCTGTTTGTTAGGATGTTTCAATTGATCTACATTCAGAAATCTCACTACAGAGGAATCGGGCCAAAGGATCTTAGAGTTACTAGGTCCTCTCTGTCTTCCTTGAAGCCACAATAAACACTGATGGTGGGAAGGACAACTTTTGTACCTTCTACTTCTTCCAGAATCTTTTGGTCTTTGGATATATTCTAGATCAGCTCCATTAGGAAAAATGGGATGAAGACCACCTTCTTCTTTTCCTTCGTCCCCTAACACCCTCTCCCCCAGCTCCCGCCAAAGAGCTATATTGCTTCTTTTTCCAATTCTCACCTGAATCATGGTGCATTTGATGCAACCTCTCTTCTGGTAGTCAGTTTGAGGTTGTGATAGACTTCCTTCAGCAATAACTCCACTTGCTTTGAGCAGCCGTGAATCCAGAGTCATTGTGTTTAAAGGATCAGCTGCAGTTTTTATTTTCAAGTACCACAAGGATTTGGGTTCCTTGGCACATGGCTGCCATGTCAAGATGTGCTTCTCTGCAAGGTGAGTTCATCACATTTGTTCTCTTCCACATTGGCTCCACAAACATCAGAAATTGAACCATTGACGTACAGAACTTTTCCATCATTGAACTTCATGTAGGAAGTCGTTCATAAAGAAATACAGTTGTTGTCTTCTTTCCATCCACATCTTCAGTAGCATCTTTTAACTTCATAAAAAGATCATAGGAAAAAGAAATCCTCACGATGTTAAGCGGAATTCACATCACTTTTTTTTTTCTTTTGGTTCTGTGACAGATACTTATGTTTTGTTTCTAAATTCCATTTGAATTCTGGTAATGATTTTGTTGTTTGAATTTATAAATTTCTCTGTGTTGTATTAAGACATTAATCTTTTGTTTGTTTTGTTTTGTTTTTACTTTAGGAGACACTTAACACATCTGCTAGTTCAAGAAACTTAAAATCTCTTGATACTGAAAACAGTGAAACTGAGTTAGAAAGAATTTTACGGCGCAGAAAGGTGACAGCAGAGCCAGATAGCAGTAGTAAGCTGGTTTGAATTCTTCACAATCCTACTCTTCAATTTCTGTATATCTGTCTTTAAATTAGTTCTTTAAATATGAAGTAATCTCTTCCTAATTATTGAATGAATTTTCTAATGTGAGTGAGAAGTATTAGATGGACATGTGAGGAAGTTAAGACCCAGAAAAGTGAGTCATTTCCCTCTCTGCCTCGGCAAAAGGGGGCAATTGGATTGGACAGTCTCCAAAGTCCATGCTAGCTCTAACATTCTGTGATTAATATCATTACTGGTAATGACTCACATTTATATGGTGCTTTCCATATATTATCATGTTTATCTTCAAAATAATCTTGACTAGTAATATATGTTTTATTACCTTCATTTTACCGACGAAGAACAGAAACTCAGAGAAATGATGTTCTTTGCCCAATGTCACAAGACTAGTAAGTAGCAGGACAGGATTCATCTGAACCCAGGACATTTGATTCCAAACATTTCTCACTGCAACATGATGATTCAACAAACCCAGATATAGAAATACTTTGGATATCTATCTTGCATATTCAAAAATTATATAACCATTTTACACAAATTAAAGTTTTATAGGTCAGGTCATGTTTTAAAGGCATTAGACCAATTTGCTGATTAGGGGAAATACAGTATGCCTTTGAACAAGTCACTTCATCTCTCTAAGCCTCAGTTTCCTCATCTGTAAAATGAGAATATTAGAATAGACTTTTTCTAAGGTCTCATCCAACTCTAAAATTTGTGATTCCATAGAATGAAAGACAAAAAAACCCTCAGTTCTTAAGACTTTGAAGCTGCCTTTAAGATTTTTTTGTCGTTGCTACACAAGAAATTAACCATCACCTATTGCAAATTCTCTGAAATTTTTTTAAGTGGTCAGTGAATCATAGTTGCTACAGGATGAGAGTTGAAATCATCAGGGCATTGAGACATTTGAGAAAGCAAAAATTAAAGTAACCAGATTATGTTGAGAATTTAAGCTTTTATCTAATCCAAAATTATTCTAGTTACAATTCTAGAATGTCAGAGTTGCAAGGAACTTAAGTGACCATCTGGTCCAACCATTATCTTAAGCCTGAAAACCCTCTATGGCATCTCTATTAGAGGTCATCTTCCATTTGAACATAATGGTTTGATCAAACAGATGATTCATTCTAAGCAAGTCAAACTGCAATATAATTCTCTCTTTAAAAAAAAAACAAACTAATTTTTTTTCCATAAAAAGGAGGAGGGTATACAACTAGTTGTATATCTTTTATTTTGGCATAAAAGTTATAGTAATAAAATTCTAAAAGAATAGGAAATCAATCAATAAGTATTAAATACCTGTTATGTGTTAAGCACTAAGCCAAGCATTGGGGATACAGGTAGAACCAATGAAACAATAGCTGCGTTCCTAGGAGCTGACATTCTAATGGTGAGGATAACAAGTACATACATAAATATATATAGTACATATATAAATATATGAAGTAAATACAATGCAAAGTAGTTAAATACAAGGTATTTTGGGAAGGAGGACACTTAGAAGTTGGGGTGATCAAGAAAGGCTTCATGTGACAGATAGTGCTTCAGCTGCTTCTTGAAGGAAGAGAGGGTTTCTGTGAGACACAATTAAGGAGGGACTATATTCCAGGTGTGACAGATAGCCAGTACAAAGATAGGTGGTCATATGTAGTAAGACCCAGAGAGAAGGCCAATTTGTCTGGATTGTACCGAGTAGGAGGGGAAGTCATGTCCATTGAGATTAGAAAGATAGGGTGAGACCAGGTTATGTAGGGCTTCAAAAGCATAAATAGAGTAGTCACATGGTCAGATCACTGCAGAGGAGGGCTCAGGTGCACGAGATGTTTTTAAGGTGGAAGTGACAATATTTGGTAACTGACTGGATATGTGGGGTGAGGGAGAGTGAGGAGTAGAGAGTTATGCTAAGGTTACAGTAAGGATGGTGGCATCTTTGACAGAAATAGGGAAGTTCGAAAGGGAGGAGGGTTTAAGGGGAAATATAATAAGTTCAATTGGGACAAGCTGAGCTTGAGTTCCCTCTGAGACATCCAGCTTGAAACGTCCAATAGGCTGAAGCTTAGGGGAGAGGCTGGAACAGAATATAGAAATCTGTAATTTAGCTGCCTTAGAGATGATAGTCCAACTTATGGTTGCTCATGAGTTTACCAAAAGATGGAGTGTAGGGGCAGAGGAAAAGAGAGCCTAGGAGAGAACCTTGGGAAACACCTACTATTAGGGGGAGTGAGATAAATCAATAAGTATTTATTAAGTGCCTGTGATGTGCAAGGCACTGTGTTAAGCCCTGGGAATGCAAAGAAAAGCAGAAGACAGTTCCTGCTCTCAAAGAGCTCGAGGCAGGGATGGGGGGCAGGGGGAGGGACACAACATGCAAACAGCTCTGTATCAACAAGATCTATGCAGGATAAATTAGAGGGAATCAGTAGAGAGAGGGCATTTACACTAAAGAGGATCAAGAAGAGCTTCTCGTAGAAGATGGGATTTTAGTTGTGACTTGAAGGAAGACAGGAGGCAGAGATGAGAAGGTAAAATATTCCAGATATGGGGAAAGACCAGAGAAAATGCCTAGAATCTGGAGATGAACAGCTAAGGGACCAGTGTCACTGGCCCACAGAGGGGGTAGAGGGAAGTAAGGTATAAGAAAATTGGAGGAAGATAGGGGGACAGGTTGTGAAGGGCTTTGAAAAAATCCTCTGAAAAGAGGATTTTCTGTTTCATCCTGGAGGTGGTAGGGAGCCACTGGAGTTTATTGAATAGGGGCTGATGTGGTCAGATCTGCGTTGTAGGAAGATTACTTTGACAGCTGAGTGGAGGATGGGGCACAGTGAAATGGATGATGAGTAAGGAGTAAAAAGGAAACTGAGGAGTAGTCAGACAGATAGGAGGAGAAAAACCCAAAGAAGAGTTTCCAGAAGGAGGGGATGATCAGAGAGGGAAAGAAACCTATTTCTCTCATGATAGCAGTTATTCCCATTGGGTTTCTTTACCAGTTTTACTGCTGTTGATGATTTCCCTAAAAGAAACTAAGTTAATGGAGTTTAAACGTAGGGAAACACTTAATATTTTGATGTTTGATCAGTCACTGAAAAAGTACCTTGTACTTTGGGGAAAAAGCACATCTGTGCCTCTTCTGCTGGCTAATGTAGAAGTTTGTTGAGCTCTCTATCTCTACCCTTTACTGTTGAGATTTTCACCTTGGATTTTGCCTAACTTACTGTTATACTTTCAAAGTCAGTTTTGCTCCACTGCCTCCAACCCGCTATACTAACTGAATACTCCTTGAACTTTTGAATTCCAAAATCTTAACAGTTACACCCTTCCTCAGAGTATGTTTGAAACCTGAATGAAGTAAAACTAGATTCCTGTTTCTGAGTGTGACTATCACTCATATAAGCTGTTAGCAAGATTGTTAGCTTTTAACTGGGTTTCTTGCCTCTTCCATGTTGCTATTTCGGCAAGATGATGACTTTTTAAAAGCAACCATTGAAGAGGTATCAGAAAGACAAACATTGCATTTAAAATGCTTCTCAGAAAGTTGTTTTTTTCAGTAGAAATGAAAAGTTTTCCAGTGTGCTAATGAGGAGATACAAATGCAGTGGAAAGAATAAGAGACTGCATTGTACAGTGGCTTTAATGCCAGACTTGGCATCAAAAGACCTCGGTCCATATTCCAGCACTATTACTTATTACCTTTGTAACCTTGCACAAGTCAATTGCCCTCTCTGGATTCCTGTTTTCTCCTCCATTATATGAGGAGATTGGACTGGGTCATCTCTTAGGTCCCAGTCAGCTCTGTATCCTATGAAACCTGCTTTTAATTGTGTAGAGGATGTCAGGAGCAAATTTACAGGCATGGTGAGAATTAGAAGAAAAAGGACTCTTTGAACTCCCTCCATCCCCTAGAAGCAATTGGAGGAACTTACTGAGATTATATCCTGACAGGTGTGTTTGTCTGTAGTGAGAAGGAAGTGGATATCACTATGTACAGTGTGTTATTCCGCACACAAAAGCTTATGGAAAGGTAAAGATGTATTCAAGTGTAAGGTGACGGGCAGAAAACAGGAGGATTATAATAAGAAATACACAGTTAGGGCAGCTGGGAGCAGGGTTGAGGCTAGTAGGACCCAAATCCTAAGTTGCAGCTGGTCTCCTCCAGTGGTCTGTTAAAATGTATTTTCCTTTAAAACACTTCATATGGCTCTAATTGTCATTCCCACATTTTACCTAGTAATTTGGTCTACAAAATTGGTCTTTCAGAGAGCAGCAAGTGCCTCTCAAAAAACATTGGGAAGCTTATAAGGATGAAGAAAAGTCCAACTTACCCATTATGTATTTTTTTTATTTCTTTTTAGATGTAGGAAAAGCAAGGGCTCGCCTACTCCCCCTCCTCCTTTATAAGGCTTCAGTTACGGGAATGAGCAACAGGAACTAGTGTATTCAGAAATGGGGAAAGAGAAATGCAGATTAGATGGCTTAAGGCAGTCTCCTTCTAGCTATATTCACTCTTTTATTGACCTTAATACCATCTCTTTATTTTCATGCCCACAACCTGAAGGGCAAAGGGAAATCAGGATACTTAATTACCTCACCTAATTCATTCCTACCCTCTCTTTAAGATAAAGAAGAAAGGGCCATGCTTTCTACAAAGGCTGGTGCTTGCCCATATTCTTGTGATGTGGATCTGGCCTATCCAGGGATTTTATAAGTTTTCAGGGACAAAAACAAGCAAAGGCTATAAAATTCTACTGTGAGGAAAATTGGCTAGATAGCATCCTTTAACATAAGGCTAGAAACGCCCCATGTTGATGCTTAATAAATATTAATAATAATGCATGCAATAATGATTATAGTAGCCAACTAAACTAAATCCTATTCTGTAGTTTTTGGATACCTTGCTAGAGATCAAAAAAGTCTAAACCTCTTTATTTATCCCTTAATTTCTTCACCCACTGTCTCCTTGTAAAGAGGAAACAAATCCACTTACTTCTCATTCACATTGAAAATGGAAATGTTTTCTAAAAGTTGTTTTATATTAGAGAAGCCTTATGAGCCATTTAAAAGAACCTTTTGAAGTTTTTTCCCTTTTCCATTAAAAATGAGGAGCTGTGTTATGTGAAGAATCAGCTTTTTGAAGGATATAGGGTTGCTTCAAGGAAGGCTGTTAGTAAACTCACAGAGTGCTCAGGGAAATGCCCAGGTGAACTTTCAAAGGACAATACAGAAATCCTGGATTTGGTCCCTCAGCACCACTTTGAAAGCAACAGAACCATAGAAGGAGAGCACATTTCCAATAGGAATGTTTTTTTCAGAATGTCCTTGAGATTTCAGCTGTTCTATATACAGCAAACCTATTTGACCAGCCCTAGGCATTTTCAGCTAATCTGTTTTTCAATACCCTATGCGGAAAGCATAACCCACGATTGTTAAACTGTAGGTATGTGTTTGGTTTTAAGGTCCAACGGGGATATTAGCCACTTCAGAGTCCAAATCCATGCCAGTGTTGGGTTCTGTATCCAGTGTAACAAAAACTGCATTGAACAAGAAAACTCTGGAGGCAGAATTCAACAGCCCGGCCCCCAAAACACCTGAGCCAGGTGGAGGGCCTCATAAACTGGAAGGAAGCACAAGTCCCAAGGTTACACTTCAGTAAGTAATGATGCTCTTTCTTCTGTAGTATGTAGCAGAATTTGTGATTACTGATTTATTACTCTTGTTTGTGTTTTTTTTCCTTTCTGGAAAGTACTCTAGATAGTCAATACGTCCTTGAAATTATACAGTTACTTCCTTTAGCATCTCCTCTTTCTTCATTCAAAGAGTCATGTTCCAATGATAGACAAGAATTGCTTTGTTGAGTCCCTTCGAGGAATGATGTCATTCAGGGCTGATGGAAAGTACTTCTTCCAGGTGAATTCCTTTCCTTAAATTGAATCGTAGCCAGTTTCTTCCAGATAAAAGTTTGACCTTAAAAATCCTGGGTGAAGAAACAACTTAGCTTGTCTTAGGTTACATTTCCCATCTAAGGGGATTTAATCATTTTTTTCAAGATTTATATATTTAATTCACCCATCTTAAGTTGGTGCCTGACCAACTCAAGAAAACACTAGATAGATGTCCAAGAGATCTGTTTTAAAATGTCTATTTTCACATCTTCATTTTCCAACCCTTGGAGAAGATTTACCAGCAGAGAACACTGAGCTATCCCAAAAGAGAAAATAGGTTAGGTAAAGAGATGTGGTTCAACAGACCTGGATCTTCAAAGTGCCACTGTCAGCTTCAGGGAGTTAATCCTGCTACAGAAGTCTATGTTTCCAACAGATCCGGTAGAGGATCATTTTGTTTTCTAACAATGCCAGCCTCTTTTCGAAATTAGTCTACAGTTTTGCTTCAGTTCTCTTGCCAGGATGTCATCTGGCTTGTCACTTAAAGAAAAGGAAGTAGGTGAGACAAATCAGATCAGCAGAATATTGTAATCATGGTTAATTAAACCTCTGATTTCCTGTTCCACCAGGAGAGAAAGGACCCTCTTTTTGTACCTCGTGCTGTCTTTCTTAGTTCAAAGGGTGAATCCTGGACAAATGAACTGGAAATTCAATTTGGATCTATTTTTGCCAAGTGGTATTTTTTTTCCCACTGCTACATTCTCTTATTGGTGTTGTTAACTTTTCTCTACCTCCCTGTCTCCTCCCCCCACCCTTTTTCAGAATGAAAGACCTTTGCTGACTTACAGTTTTAGCTAATTTAATTGTGTTTCCAAAAGCACATTTTTTTTCCCCTCCAGGAATGTTTCCCATCCTTTTGACTGGAATCATTTAGACAGAAAGATGATCCATACTCAACCTTCATCTTTCTGTTTAAATTTGTTTAACACCTAATTTGGCATCAACAATCTGGCTGCATTGGAACCGATATCTAGACACAAAAGCCACTGGGTTGAGACAAGTTAGTTTCTGAGAAATGCTTCAGTGTGTGTGTATAGATTTTTTTTTCCCTCTACCATATTACACAGATAATCTTAATCAGAAAATACAGCAACTCCTTCCACCTTTTGTCTGCCTTTTATTCAACAAAAGTAAGTGGAAATTACATTTCCAAGAAAGGAAATGAAATAATTGCAGGCCCACGGTCTGCAGAATGTGTGGTGAATTGACAGTGAAAAGGATCCGTGTGTTGACAGACACAGTTGTTAGACGTTTTAAAGGCATATGTGAAGCTCAATTTATTTCTCATCCTGCCTGTTCAATGACTGCCTAAGAGACACATTTCAATTTAATTTACCTACTTAAAGCACTAGTATAAACACTGTGTATTGCTGTGTTAACTTTTCAACTTTGTAACCTAATGCTTGATTATTTAGTTCTTGACATTCTTTAGCTGAAATGACTAAATAGCATGTATTTTTCATATTGACAGTCAATTAATGAATAACTGCACCTTCCTGAAAAACCCATTTCTTAAGTACAGTTACTCTACTTAAACAAGTCCAGGGATTTTTTTTTTTTTAACATGGTAATTATTCACTTCCCCAACAGGCAGAGCTCATCCATTTGTGCACAGTCTGGTCCCTTAGCATCTAAATGAAGTTTAACCTAACAGTGACATGTAAGACCCAAAGGTGAAACTACACAGTGTTTATTTATTTATTAGTAGTACTTCATGAATTCTGTGTTTATTTATTAGTGGTACTTCACAAATTCTGGTTTAACCACTAGACATTCTGGTCTCTTTTTTAAGTTGTATGCCTGGGGGATCTTGTTCTTAAATTAGAATCTGAGGAGGACCTGAGTGTGAATTCTTACTCTGCCTCTTCTCTTTCTGTGTGACCTTGAACAAGTCACAGACTCTGTGGTACTCACCATCCTCTTTTATAAAAGGAAGGCTTGAACTAAACTGTCTCTGAGTTCCATTACAACTCTTAAATCTCTCCATCTTTGTTTCTTGGCTCCAAATTAAGATGTTTCTATTGCCTAGCAGCATAACGCTTAATTGACAGAGTATTTTAGGTCATGCTTCTAAGATAAAAAAGGAAATTATTAAAGTTTACTTACATCATCTATAGACCATCTGCTTCATTTTGAATGTTGGTAGTAGCAATTCTGGATAGTATAGAGAACCCCACAGCTGTGTTGGTGGGAGAGTCAGCATGGTAAGAGCCTTTCAGGCCAGCAGACTTGGGGTCAGACTTACTTCAGGTCCTGTGTACTTCCCTGAACCTCAGTTTTCCCAGCTATAAAATGGGCATAATAACAGTTGAACTACCTAACTCATACAGTTGTTATGAAAAAAGTACACTTGGGAAACATTTTTAAAGAATAGTTATTGTAAGTTATTGTTATTTGCCATGTTATTATCATCAGCCTTTGTTAATAGCTAATATGATTTTTATTACTATCATATTACTGTTGTTATTAAAATCATAGAATCAGCCTAATACAGTGGAAAGAATATTATACTTGGAAGTCTGAATGTAGACTGCTTCTTATAATTATTGAGTCATAAGGGCCTTGATTAAATGGATGCAGTGGATTCCGTGGAATATATCCATCCCGTGGATCCAGTGGAATCCAAATGGATTCCAATATGAAGTTGTTGGATTCCTCTTCCCCACATGCTACTTTGCTAAAAAAAAAAAGAGAGAGAAAGAGACACAACCGCATTAGCAGAAACAAGAAGCTTATTTTAAGGAATTATTGATGAAGACTTGCTGGTGATGCCCTTCCCTTGGTACAATTTCATCTGAATCCCTAGAGCTGCTTCTGCCGGCCTTTACAATAATAGGATCAAGATTTGCTGCCCCGAATCTGATCCTGGGACAGAGAGTTTGCCATCCTTTTCACGCGGCTGTCAGTCAGTAACATTAAAAACGTTCAGCTTTGCAGCGCTGAATGAACCCAGCATTGAGCGGCTTATCTATTAAGAGTTCACATCCGGCCTGTGTGACCCTCAGCAAGTCCCTTAACTTCTCTTAGTCTCAGTTTCCTCATCTGTAAAGTGGGCATAACATAGCACCTATCTCCCAGGGTTGTTGTGAGAATCAGATGACATAATATTTGTAAAATACTTTGTAAACCTAAGAGCACTATATGAATATGAGCTAGTATGATTTTTATTACTATCATATTATTGTTATTAAAATTGTAGGATCAGCCTAGTATGGTGGAAAGTGCATTATACTTGAAAGTCTGAAGACCTGGGTTCAGATCACAGCTCTGTCCCTTAAGTAGCTGTGCAACTAAGGACAAATCATTTCTTTGAGCTTCAGTTTTCTCATCTGTAAACTAGGGTGATGATAGTTGCAGAACCCATTTCATAGGATTGTTGTGAAGGGAATTGTTTGTAAACAATAAAATATAAATTTAAAAATATGCTGCCGTTAGTTAATCATTTAGTTCATCCTTCTTCTGAGACAGCTAAATGGCACAGGGTTGGAATCAGGGAAATCTGAGTTCAAGTCAGGCCTCAGATACTTCCTAATGGTATGGCCCTGGGCAAGTCATTTAACCCATCAGCCTCAGTTTCTTCATCCCTGAAATGGGGATAATATAACACCTAATCTCATAGGATTGTTGTGAGGATCAGATGAGGTATCATCTGTAAAGCACCTGGCAAATTTTAAACTTCTTGTTGTTACAGCTGCTGCTGCTGTCACCACCACTATAACGTGCAAGTCTTTGCAAAGCATTTGAGATGAGATGATATATTTTCATGATTTCCTTGCAAGACTGAATTAAAGTTAGCACCATTGTGACCATTTTGTCAAAACAAGTACAACCATGTGTAAGGGACCAAGACTATTTTAATACTTTTTACAAAATGTTTACATTACTTATTATCTCATCCATCAAGCATTACAATTATTTCTATGAGATTTTTTTTTTCTTCTAGTGAAAGCATATGAACATTATAATATATATGAACAACATAAAGAAGATCACCATTTTCAAGGACTTTATGAATATTCTTTTAAGTATGGTGCCGTTTCATTGTAATCATATGATAAAGACAGATGAATTTTATAAATTTAGAACAGCTACATTAAAATTAATTACTTCAAACTATTTGAGGGAATTAGGGAAGACCAGTCCATGTTAGGGAAAAGTTTAAATTATAAGAACTTAGAAAATAAGAAATGTCATTTTATTACTTTCCAAAATATGTAATAACTAAGACTAAGCTAATGCAGTGATGCTTACTCTAGAGGTCCGGTTTTCATGATTAAATCAGAGGAGTTTGTAATTAGCATGTGGGGACAATTTGAGATATAAACAGGAGAGGGTAAAAAGGAAACAAACTGGATAAACCATTTTTTTGAATGGGGTTGTTTTAGACACTTGGGGATCAAGAGATAGCACTATTAGGATTTAAATAGATGGAGAAGACAAATTAGGCACTTGATAACAAAAAAGACAAAAGTTTTTGGAGTGAAGAAAGGAAATAAAAGGCCAGTCATACTCCAGTGTGTTGTTTTAAAAGTGGTGTTAGTATTTATGTCAACAGCCACTCACAAATACTTAGAAAGCTCCAGAGGTTTTGTTTGTGTATCACTTCATATTTGTTTTGGTTTTTTTTTAAAGGGTTCCCACATTGCATTGTATCATTTGCTCCTAATACATATAGTGTCTTATCCCTTATACTGGCATAAAAATACA